CTCTCCACCTGCTTTGCCAGCCTCCTCCCTCATTTTCTTTCACGCCAGCACATGTTCTCTTGTAAACTTGGTCCCTTCCTTTTGGGACAAGCCTGGACAGGACAGACCCCTGGGTGAGGGAGGAGGGGTCTGCCTGGGCCCCACAGCCCAGGACACTCTGTTCTCTGGATGCCAGAGACCAGAGGCGTGAACACAGGAAGCCCAAGAACCAGGTGTGGTCCGAGGGCCAGGCAGGTACAGATGAGGGGTGGAGGTGCCCGCGGGCGGGCGTGCCAGGCACAGCCCAGTATCAGGTGCTGCTACGGCCATGTGCCGTGGCACGTGCACTCCCCAGGCCTGGCACTGCACAGGAGCACTGCCTGTGACAGAGCCCATGAGGACTGATCAGGAGCCACCCTCCAGTGCGGTCCCACGCAGGCAGTGATGGGTGGCATGCTGGGGTAGGAGCTGTTAGGACAGCCTGCGCCTGGGAGCCCAGAAAGCACGGCAGTCAGCTGTGGGTGCAGGGGCAATGGCTCATCATTCTCACACTTCATTTTCCAGATTTTTCTGTGAGCATGTATTACATAAGCCAGAACAACAACAAAAAAGTTTAAGTGCTTTAAAAAAAAAAAAAAAGGCAAGGCTCTGGTGCCCAGACGGCCAGCTCTGTGGCCCTGGTGCTGCGGGGATGAAGGCCTGGCCCAGGACCCAGGGGGTAGCTCTGGGCCCCTCTCACCTTCCAGGGCCAGGGCACTCTGCCAGGGAGGCGGGGAGCCCTTAAAAGCCGCAGTGCCCCTGCCTCCTGTTCCTCGGGGCTGCGTGCAAAGCTGGCCTCTGCAGATGGGAGCTTGGTACCTTTTTCCAAAGCTAACAGGCACAACCTTTGGACTGGTAGATGCAGACACGGCTGCAGGCGTGGGCTAGCTGGGCCTTTATGGCGCTGCTTGGGGCAGAGAGAGGGCCCGGCCTAGGGGCCAGGACTCTGGCCTCCTGCCGCCTCAGGCCCAGCTCTGGACCTAACTGCCTCTGCTTTGCACAAGACAGTAAGGTGGGAAGAGGCTTTCCTGCCTTCCCAGAGCCCTTCCGGGGCTCAGGGATATTTCAAAACCTGGTAATCAGACACAACCACCATCGACAGGCATCTCTGGGCCTGTGGCTGCAACACTGTGTCCTGGTGGCTGCTCCGCTAAAGCCATGTGGCCCGCTGTGTGATCCGGCCATCTGTCCACCTGCAAGAGGACACTCCCAAGACAGGGGAAAGCCCATCCTGTGTGCTGCTGGGTGGGGCAGGGCTCCTGCCAACACAACCGCACTGCAGCACGGGGCAACCGCACTGCAGCACGGGGCAACCGCACTGCAGCACGGGGCCGGCTCACCTCACACCTGTTCTCACTTCATCTCTGGTAGGCCTGCCCAGTAAAAGGCTGACGCTCCCTCCCCTCCCAGATGCACTCCTTCGCTGTTGGAATGGGTCCTGTGTCAAGAACATGCCAAAGTTAATCCCAAAACATGTGACTCCCACAATGCCCAGACCTGTTAACCCTGAGGTGAGATGGTCAGGGGCTCAGTAGGACGCTCGCATCCAACATGGGAGAGCCTGGCCTCAACTCTTGGCCCAGGTCCTCACCCGAGCTCCCTGCTGACGTGTCCCCGCCACCAGGATCTACGTGAGCGACCTGGGACAGGGCTCTCAACACACACCCCCAAGACCCCAAACCTGAAGGCTGTCCTTACGATTGGCCCATTAGGTGCCCAACACAGCACAGTACTTCAGGCGCGCTGCATGGTGAGGTGACAGAGATGGCGTGGACTCGTCCACACCCTGCCCTGTGGACGCGGCCAGCTGCCAGGGTCAGACACTGCCGCGGAGGCTGAGGCTCAGGTCTGGCCTCGCGCCTCTTCCTCCTCCTCCCTGGCAAGCTGTCACACCACCATGAAACTCAACCCTGAGTCGGTGCCAAGGGAAGGACACAGCACCACCTTCATGGATGACAGGAGGGCCCCACTGGCCCTGACAGACAGCTGAACTGGAGAAGATCACCTCCCCTGCAGAGCCCACAGAATGAGCAGCGAGAACCCAGACATGCCAGGCGCTATGACCACAGGGGCAGGGGCAGAGAGGTGGAAGCCAGCCTGGAGCAGGGTCCCAGAGGCCTAGAGTGTGCACGCAGGGCGGGAAGGGGTGGCGTCGGCTGCTGGAAATAACCGGTTCTCCGGGGATCCCCCAGTGCCCAAGGACAGACGGCTGGTGCCACATTAATGAGCATGGCTGCACTTGCGAGCTCCCAGCTGACTTCCACCTAAAACCCAGCTTTGAGGATGCTGGTGCCCCACCCTGTGTGCAGCGACCACTCCCTAGAGAGGCGGCCAAGGAGGCAAGTCTGCACACCTTGTCTCCGTGAGCACAGGCCACACGCCAGGCCACTGTCTGGGTCCTGGCACCTGGCCGCCGGCTACCACCGGGAGTGTGGGGATCTGGCAGCTGCCCAAGTCTGTCCTGGGGCCCGGAGAGTCATCACCGAGGTCCGTGATGGACACTGCTGGCCTGTGGACAGGACAGGGCCCTCCTCAGGCCCACAGTCAGGGGGAGCAGTCTGGGACTCGTACATGCAACAGCGCCCAGCTGGTTCTCATCCTAGCTGGCCGATGGACTCCACAACACACCCTTCTTGTAATTTCGTGTCTCCAAGGCAGCTCCCCTTCTCAGTGCCCCTGCAGATGCGCAGGCCAACCACAAGGACACCACCGGGTCGTACTTGGCCACACTGGAATGGGGTGGGGTGGCCCTGAGGAGGAATGCGGCGTTGTCCTCCAGCCTGCGAGCCTGACTCCTGGGGCAGGAAGCTCTGGACTTCATCCCGGCATGGGTAAGGCTGGATGCTGGGCAGGGGCCCTTGGGGTACCAAGTGAGCACGGAGAAGGGGCAGGAGCCGCACGGCCCTTGTGAGAAGGCGGAGACTGGGCCAGCTTGCTGGCTTCTGGTCTTCCAAAGCTGTGTTACCTTGGAGAACAATTTCTCTCCTACTTAAAAGGGGCGCCTAGAGCTGTACAAAGGATTCCACAAGTCAGCACGCGCACACACACAAGCACCTCACAAACTGTAACATCAGAGGAACATTTGTGCACCCAGCTCAAGCCTTCCCTTGGTGTGGATACCCATCTTGCAGATGGACCAGAGGAAACTGCTATTAGAACTATCACGTCTTTGTAGCCCCACTTCCTCCTGGGCAGGTCACCCTGGCAGCACGCACCAGGAAGGGCAGAGGCACAATTGGCAGCTTGCGTCCATTGCAGTGGCACGGAGCAAGCGCAGCTGGTGTGACGACAGCCGTGCATCTGGGTCTTCCCGCATGGAACACCTCCTCTGGCACCCCCTGGGGTCTGCTTTCTTTCAGGGCAGGGCAAGCCCAAGCAGTGCCCAGCCCTGCCTGGTTATCACCTTACCTGGAGAAGTTCCAGGAGTTAAGGGAAAAAAAGGGAGGGCGAGGGGAAGCATTGTCTTTGCCTTTCAAATGATTTTCAATTGTCTAAGAATATTCCAAACAAAACACTGTGCTGTGAGGTTCCACGTGTGAGCCCCGAGACCACGATCCTCACGGCCACCAAGACCCAATCAGCAATTCAGAACTGTTGAACTATCAAAACCACCTGAGCCATGCCCTCGTGCCCTCGTGCCCTTGGAGCACACTCTTGGACCCTGGGAGGGGTGGGAGGCTAGCTGGGTCTTCTCCCTTTATCTCCACCACTCCCCTGCCCCTCTTACCCCAGATGCAGGAAAAAAAAGAGAAATGTGGTCACAATGGTCCTGCCCACTTGCCTCTTTGTGCCCTAATCAACTATATGAAGATGATAAAAGCAGACAGACAAACCGAATCAGCAGTCAGCAGACCCTAAGCACGGGCAGCGCGACTTCCACCTGTGGCCTCTGCTCTGACACAGGCCTTTCCCACCGTGTCAGTGATGTCTCTGACAGCCAAGTGGCCGTCCCTTCAGTTGCCTTGTGTCAATACACAGAGAGCCATGGCCCAGGGCCGGCATGGACAGGCCAGCTGCTGGGCTTGGCTTCTGCAGGGCACTACCGAGCAGCTGGTAGGCTGTGGCGAGCGAGCTTCTGGGGCAGCGACCTCAAGCAGTCATGCAGAACTTGTATAATGGCAGAGCCCCTGGCAGAGCCGCCTCGGGGCACCTGGCCGTCCTCCGACAGCACCCCACCTCTCTAACCTTGGCTTGGCTCTGTGGAGGAGATGGGAAGGTGGGGGATGCGTTTTTCACGGTCTGGGGCTGGCCACGGCGCTGCAGACTGCCTGGTCCTGAGCGAGCTGCTCGCTGTCCTGGCCCTCCAGCGCAGCGCTGCCCAACCTGCCTGCCAAGCACCCACTCACATGCTGCCCAGCCTTGCCCTGGCCACCTTCCCACCTTAAACGTCTCTGGCTCCACAGCAGTGTTCACAGAATCTAGTTGTCCTTAGCTCAAGAGCCCCTACTCATCCACCCACGACAGCCATCACTGCGCAGGGCAGCGGCCGGGCTGTCCCCGGCCACGAGGTGCCGGCACTCTGTGGCACTCCTAGCAGCCTCGTGGGAAGGCCGTCCTTTCCACACCGTCAGTCAGCACACTCTCCTCGCACCGCCTCCAGCGCCCCTTTAGTGTGGGCCCCTGACACAGTGCCTTCTTTCGTGGTGGACAGCAAGTTTGTGTCTGATTGTGCAAGCCCAGAATTGAAAACAGCACCCCAGTCACCATGCTAACTTCCCAGTGAGGTCACTGCCCCTCAGAACCTTGAGGGGGCTGCAGGTCTGGGGCTGAATGTCAACCACAGAGGAAAAGGTACTGCACGGAGAGCCACCCGAGGGACAGGCCCTGCACCTGTCACCGGGCATTTGCTGGGCTGTGGTGAGCTCGGGGTGCAGCGGGGGCCGCTCTATGCACGCGGCGCTTTGCCCCTTGTCCCTGGATGCGGGGTGTGACCCCGGCGGCTGCCTCAGCCTGTCGTGAACGCAGCAGGAGACAAGGAGAGCTTTTACTGAGAAAAAGTGAATTTTTAATTATCTTGTGAATCTACTTAGAAAAACACACAAGCAAAGTTCACAACTATAAATTTAAACCTTTTTCACTAAAAAAACACAAACAACAAACACAAAAGCACAGCCTGGCTGTGGACGTGCGTTAACCGTCCGCCAGCCTCGGGGTTAGTCTTCAGCAGTGAGTCCGTATTCTCCTTGGCAACTGTAATGTTTTAGCACCAAACGAGCTCCTGGGAGGCACTCGGCCCGACGCTGGCTGCCGGGCTCAGGAGCCGCTTCTGCAGCCCCTCCCCACACACAGGAGGCCGTGGAGATGGTGCCCCACGCTGACCTCCAGGGCCAGGGGAATAAGAGGGCGCACGGGTCACACATCTCTAATGTAGTGCATTTGTAGAAAAAAGGCCAGCTTCCGTTCCCCGGCGTGCACTCGTCCTCAGATTTTAATACCATGATTCAGAAGATGCAGGCGTCACTGCCTAAATATTAGTCTATACATTCCCATCCAGGTTCAGGAAACACTTAACTGCTATGTAATTTACACCATAGTTACTGGGTTACAGCTTTAGCTCGTTGGCAATTTTGGAAGCAATGTTTTTGAAAGCGATGGAGGTCCCAGATATCCGCTTGAAGCGGACCCCGTTGAGTGACAGTCTTGGCAGCTTGCACACCTCCATCTCCCACTGCACGAGGCCCTCGGCGTGCCCGTCGCCGTGCACACACAGCAGCAGGAAGCGCTCCCTCTGCTCGTAGTCGCAGCTGTTGGCGTCCAGCACTTTGCGGATCTCCCGCATCATGTCGCCGGGCTCCATGGAGCTCGTGGTCTTCATGCTCCACGTGAAGCGCAGGGAGCGGGGCTTGGCCTCCTTGTGCTCGTCCCTTGGCTCGGCCGAGACATTGCGACTGAAATGCACACGGGCTTGTTAGCTGCCCAGCAAGGCCAAGCTCGCCAGCGCCACTCCGGCCCTGCAGACCCACACCTGCAACCTGGTCTGCACTGAGAAGTGGTCCCACCTTCCCTTCCAAACTCATGAGCCCACATGCACAAATCTACCGAGCTGGGAGACCCTCACCCGCCCGTCCTTAGTGAAACTCAGAAAGCAACTTGGAAATGACTCCAGGAGGGCGCAGCGGGCCCGGCTCTGGCGCTCGGCTCCGCGGGACCAGGGGGGTGCGCTCCTGGGAGCTGCAGGCCCTCCCCTCAGTCACTTCCCAGCCCCCACTTTTCCTTCTATTTTGTTACACTTACAATTTTATAGTTCAAAACAATCTGCGATAGTTTCACTATAAAAGATGGGAAATGCAATGTTGCAGCCTGTATGTAGCAGAAGCTCCAAGTGACTTGTCTGGACACCTAGTGGATTCCGAGTCCTCACCGACAGGCAGAGGGGCAGCAGGGGGCAGCACTTAATTCACCTGACACCAAAACGAGTCCCGTCACCAGCCCGGCTGCCATGGGGCACAGGCTGCCTCGAGCGGGTCTAGCCCTGACTGCTGAGGGGGTCTAGCCAGGGCTGCTGAGGGGGCCACACCACTCTACGCACAGCCTTGCAAGGTCGTGGGTGTTCTGGCAGTGGGGGGCCCTGCAAGTCTGAATTCAGAAATGTACAATGATGAGACGGATGGCTCAGAAAGGGGCAGGTGCAGCCTAGCTCACATCCATAAAGCAGCCATACAAAATCAGCAAACCATTTGGTTACCTAATCAACACTCTTAAAATATACCTAACTTGGGCCCAGTGTGATAGCCTATTAGTTGACATTCTTGCATGTGCCAGGATGCCACATGGGCACGGGTTTGTATCCTGGCAGCTCCACTTCCCATCCAGCTCCCTGCTTGTGGCCTGGGAAGGAAGTCGAGGACGGCCCAAAGCCTTGGGACCCTGCACCTGCACAGAATGAAGCTCCTGGCTTTGGATTGGCTCAGCTCCGGCTGTGGCGGCCACATGGGGCGTGAACCAGCAGATGGAAGATCTTTCTGTCTGTCTCTGCTTCTCTCTGTAAATCTGACTTTCCAATGAAAATATGTACTTAAAATACATATACCCAGCATGAAGTATGAAAATTTGGCTAAACATTTTGCTTTTATTCCTTGAGAAAGAAGCAATAAGGGAGTCACTAACAAGTCAAGAGCTTCAGACTTGGGTTTAAAACATGAAAGCTGCAGGCAGGAAGCGCTGACAAGGGGAGGTCGGTGACTAGGGACTCGGGAATGTGCTGGCGGCTCGCAGGCGCCCTCCGGTGGCCACCAGGGGATGGACGGCAGACGCGGCACACGCAGCAAGCACAGGACAGACCTCAGCATTGCTGTGGCCACAGAAATGAACTAAACATCTAGGAAAGATTTTAAGAAAGAAGCGTTTCCCTCACCTTGAGCCCTCATATCTCCCGTTCCTCTCATATTCAGTCGGAAGCCTCAATGAACAGAATGTAGAAGAAAAGTGGGAAAGAGAAAAGAAATCTTACATGCTGGTCCAGACATCACAAAATGAACACATCCAACAGGTCTCATCACAGCTGAGCTTCCCAAGAGGCCTGCCCTCGGCCTGAGGAAGCCGCCCGGACTCCTTCACGGAGGCGCGCACCGGACTGGCCGCACACCTCAACCAGCAATGGCCACCGGGCCGCTGTCCTGAGCAGCACACTCGTGGCTCTGGGATGCCCAGGCTCTTTTTAACCACTCCCCACAGTCCAATGGGCTTTTAATTAAAAAGGAAATGGGCTACCTGTTAAATTCTAAATTCAGTAACATTTTCTGTACAAGGAAGAATGTCCTAGCTGGGAAGATGAACTGAACATGAGTCATGGCAGGGGGAGGACTGTGGTACAGTGGGTCAGGATGCCGTGGGCAGTGCTGGTGTTCCACACAGGAGTGCCTGTTGCAGCCCTGATCCAACTCCCAGGAACGCGCCAGGAAGGACAAAACAGCCAAGTGGCTGATCCCCGAGCCTATCAGGCCAGCTGGACGGGGCTCCTGGCTGCAGCTGCTCCAGCCTGACCAGCTGCTGTGGGCCTTCTGGCAGTGAGCCAACAGGCCTCCTCATCACGCTGGCTTTTAAATAATGTTGGTTTCCTCCCCCTCCACTCCCAAAGATCAAGGAAAAGGGCCCTATGTGGTAGCCTAGTGGCTAAAGTCCTCACCTTGTAAGTGATGGGATTGCATATGAGTGTCTCCTGGCTACTCTACTTCCCATCCAGCTCCCTGCCTGTGGCCTGGGAAGGAAGTCGAGCACGGCCCAAAGCCTTGGGACCCTGCACCCGCATGGGAGACCCGGAAGAGGCTCCTGGCTCCTGGCTTTGGATCAGCTCAGCCTCGCTGTTGCAGTCACTTGGAGTTTGAGTCAGCGGATGGAAGAATTTCTCATGTCTCTCCTTCTCTCTATAAAATCTGACTTCTCAATAAAAATAAATAAATCTTTTTTTTTTAAAGATTTATTTTTATTATTTTTTCATTGGAAAGGCGGATATACAGAGAGGAGAGACAGAGAGGAAGATCTTCTGTCTGATGATTCACTCCCCAAGTGAGCGCAACGGGCCGATACTATGCCAATCCGAAGCCAGGAGCCTCTTCTGGGTCTCCCACGCGGGTGCAGGGTCCCAAAGCTTTGGGCCGTCCTCGACTGCTTTCCCAGGCCACAGGCAGGGAGCTGGAAGGGAAGCAGGGCTGCCGGGATTAGAACCGGCGCCCATATGGGATCCCGGGCGTGCAAAGCGAGGACCTTTAACCACTTGTGCCACCGCGCCGGGCCCAAAATAAATAAATCTTTAAAATAATAATAAAATCATAGGGTTAGGAAGAAAGCAAGGTTTTGACAGAATTCATGCTAACAGAACCCTGCTGTAACCCAGCTTCCTAGAGCCTGCCGGGACGTCCGCTGCCCGGGCACACGGTGCCCCATGAGGCAGTCCCCTGCCGGGCACCTGTGCATTCCGCCCAGCACTGTCTCTGGCGCTCTGACGTCACTTTCCTCTTTTTAGGGCCAGGCTCCTAGGGAAACAGACAAGCAGGCTCCACTCTGTGGCGGCTGGGAAGTTAAAACTCCCCAAAACATGCTATGCAGCTGCTCACATTGCAATTTTTCCTTTTTTTTAAAGATTTATTTTTAAAATTTTATTGGAAAGTCAGATATACATAGAGGAGGAGAGACAGAGAGGAAGATCTTCATCTGATGATTCACTCCCCAAGTGAGCGCAATGGTCAGTGCTGGACTCATCTGAAGCCAGGAGCCAGGAACCTCTTCCAGGTCTCCCACACGGGTGCAGAGTCCCAAGGCTTTGGGCTGTCCTCCACTGCTTTCCCAGGCCACAGCAGGGAGCCAGATGGGAAGTGGAGCTGCTGGGATTAGAATCAGCACCCATATGGGATCCCGGCATGTGCAAGGGGAGGACTTTGGCAACTAGGCTACTGTGCTTGGGCCCTCACATTTCAATTTCTTAAAAAAAAAAAAAAAAGGCGGAACTAAATCGGGTTGTTTGAATTTCATGCTTGTTTCCACCCTCAGGGTATTAGCTACTTTCTCTGTCCTTTGCTACACTCCGTAACACATCCCGGCTGACACAGACACTTACCTCGCATGCCTGCGGCTCAGCAGGCACTGCACACTAGCATTCCCGAGAGGAGGCATGCCCAGTGTTAGTACTGAGACAGAGTTATGTGGATGCCACATGAGTGTAGCAGGGACAGAGTGCGTGAGCATGCACAGGCGCCACGCGCGCCTACAGCTGGAGAGTTCATCTACCGCTCTCCGGCTTCCTTTCAAGAAAATAAACATTTAGTTCTCAGCAGAAAATTTAGTTTTTAAGGGAAAAAACAGGGCCAGAAAGCCAAACCTGATGTTAATTGCAGGAGCAGCGTGGGGGTGAGGATTGGAACATAAATGTGTATATACAAGTCCTACCTTTTGATAAACCTGAATGACATGTTTCTAAAAGAAATTAAGCCAAAAAAAAAAAAAAATTAACAGAAGCAACCCACACAACAAAAATGCAGTCAGTTATCTACAGAAGGAAAGCCCGACACGGAGCTGCGCTCGCGGCCGGCAGACGGCGAGGCGCGGCTTGCGCAGGGGTGCGGGGTGACCCGCAACTGGGCATGCGGGCACTTGATGAGAAGTAGAGACACCGCCCTGAAAGGCCCATTTCACGGTGAGCATTACTGACATCAGCCCCAGCCTGTTTAAAGTCCGACACATGGGGACACTCTCAAGATGCAGTATTACTGTTAAAAAGACAAATGACTTACAATGTAATAGTAATACATTTTAAATACTAACAAATGCTTGTTATAGTGCTATGATACAAATAACTTTTTAAGAAAAATACATTAGAATTTAATATATGTTTCAAGAATTTTAGATCTCAATGAAAATTTAGTGAACAGAGAACAGTGTGAATTTTATGCATTTTTTAAAAAGATTTATTTGTTTGAAAGAATTACAATAGAGGGAGATTGATATTTGAGCCACCAGTTCACACCCACACAGCTGCCGAGGCCGGCCTGCGCTGATCAGAAGCCAGGACTCAGAAGTCTCTTTGGGTCTCCCACGTGCACGTGGGCCAGTCTCCATTACTTCTCCACATGCATTAGCAGGGAGCTGCATCGGAAGTGGAGCGGCCCGGACGTGAAGCAGTGCCCACACGGGATGCTGGCGCCAGAGGCGATGGCTATCCTCATTGCCACAGTGCAGACCCTGGATGTTAACTATACGTAACGAGCTGGACAGGCCTGGCTGGATATTCACAGCACCAAGGAGATGCGCAAACTGCAGCAGGTGCAGTGTGACCCGAGCTCAGGGTGCACGGTCACATCCCCAGCGTGCCGGGGCAAGGCCGCAGGAGCCTTGCCAACCTCTACTGGGACAACCAGCCCACCTATGAACATACTCACTCATATTTATTTGTTGGATGGAGCAATGAAATCCTTCATTTCTTGTAACTTGTAATAACTGGCACTATTTTAATATTCATCAGCTAAAAAGCTAGCATGTGAAAACAAGGACTATGCTAATCTACAGTAGTATTACTTGAAAATTATGCTAATGTACAGCAGTATTATTTGAAAATTATTGTTATACTACAGTAAAATTAGTTAAGCCTCTGCTTACAGTGCTGGAATTTCATATGGATACTGCCCCACTTCCCATCCAGCTCCCTGCTGTGGCCTGCAGCAGCAGAGGACGGCCCAAAGCCTTGGGACCCTGCACCCGTGTGGGAGACCTGGAAGAGGCTCCTGGCTTAGAATCAGCTCAGCTCTGGCTGTTGTGCTCACTTGAACCAACAGATGGAAGATATTTCTCTGTATATCTGCCTTTCTAATAAAAACAAATAAATCTTCAAAAAATGATCTTTTTGTAAAAATTTGGGGGTAGAAATGGATTGAGGATTGTAAAATAAGACTTTTTCAAAAGCTCCCCCAGAGCCAGTCTCCAGGCTCAGGTCAGGACAGTGTAACTGCGAGGGGAGAAGAGGTGGCTCCCCTGCCACAGGCCCTGGCCGGCTCCGGGGACGCTCTGCTCAGCATGGCATGCTCTCCAGGGAGCCGGTGCAGAGCCCTGCCTGCTGGGTCAGCACCGGGGGGAGCAGGCAGAGCCACTGTATATGGTCCGGCTTCCCACAGGGGCGAAGCACGGCTTCTCATCCCGCTCTTCGTGAACGTGGCGGGAGAGCAGTGGAGCACAGGCCCCGCCTAGGCCCTGGCTCCCCACAGGGAGACTTGGAGAAGCTCCTGGCTCCTGGCTTCAGATCAACTCAGCTCCAGCTGTGGGGCCATTTGGAGTGTGAATCAGCAGTGGATGATCCCTCTCTCTGTCTCAAACTTTGCTGTTCGGATAATAAATAAATCTTGAAATGACATGAAATAAAATGAAGAAACCCTTCAGAGCAAACCGTGCAGATGCCAGGAGAGGGAGTGTGCCATCGTCATATCGCACACACAGCTGTGTCTGCCAGGTGACGGGCTCTGTGCCCACAGACAGCAGCTCATGTTCTGAAAGCGGCCTGAGAACACTGAGAACTCGGCAGTGGCTCCTCGGGGCTGCACGTCCTGCCCTGCTCAGGCCTGGGCAGCACTGAGCAGGACAGCAAGGTCAACAGCCAGGGACAGGGACCCGGACATCTTTCACCGCCCAACGTGCAGGGAAAGGCTTTGTTTTGGAGGTGGGTTAGGGGACAAGCAGAGAAAAGGAAGGAGCTCCTCTCGGGCCGCCAGGCTTTTCTCTTGTTGCTCATGAACAGGTTCCTGAAACGCGGCAAAGCCACTCTGGAATGAGGGGTCTTAGCAAAGGGACTGAGAAGAGGGTAGGAGGGCACACTGAGACTTGCATCCTGTGCCGTCTTGTCACTGCTAGCAGACACCAAGAACCCTTCCCACCCCGCGTCAGAAGACCGCAGGCCATTCAGTGAGACACCTGTAACATGAATGGCCAGACTCCAACAAAACCGCTGAAGTAATTAAGGAGTCTTGCCATTAAGGGGCATGCGGCTTCTAGTTCAAACCCAGGCGACAGGCAGAAGCCCCTGCTGCTGCGGCCAGTCCCGTGACTGCAGGGGACAGTCCTGCTGAGCGGGCCTTTCACTACGTGCTCCTGGCTCGGGGTACCCTATCTGGTTCCTCGTGCAGCAGCCAATGTTTCTAGGTTTTCTGCAAGTTCCACACCAGGTTATGAAGACAGAGATAACTTAAGGAACCGTGTGAGTTTCTGAAAGCATTCTATGCACAGAAACTGAGACTAAGCTAAAGGTTTTATTTCTGAGAAAAGCCACTGACTGTAGTAGTTGTACAACCTCCTGAGAGCGAGAAACACTGCTGACTCGGCTCTCTCAACGTCAATGAAGGGAGCGATGCCCACCGCTGCATCACCCTCACTGGTGGTGCCAGGGCATGGCGTGCCAGCTGCTGCTTCCACTGGATCTGGGCTTGTGCTAAACGGCAGCGAGCACACGGCTGATCGCAACAGCAAAAACCTCCCAGGTGCGAGATAACTACTGAGTGAGTGGAGACCCTGAGCGGCTCTGCTGTGTCAAGTCAGACACGCGTGAATCACAACGTGGGCACCTAGAGGTGGGATGACGGTCCCTGTGCAGCGTCTCAAGGCGCCGCGGGGGCAGCCCTCCCTCTGGTCAGCAACAGGCTTCGCCAGCACTTACCTCCTCGTCAGCTTTGAAGTTAATTTACTAAAAAGATTAGTGGAGCCTCGGCTTCGAGTCTGGGACAACGGCGTGGCTTCGTGGGACAGGCTGGGGGAGGCGGGCGGGCCGTTATAGGTGGCGGTCCGCCGCTCCCTGGGCGGGCCGTGGAAAGTGCTGCGCACGGCAGAGCCTCTTGGGAAGCGGACGGGGTCTGGAGTGGCTGCACTGCTAACACTGTGGGTGGACGCCACCGGAGTCCTCTGGTCAGGGACAGTGCTGTGAGAGCAGAAGACACGAGTCTGAGAGCTGTGCTCACAAAATTCACATCCCAAAGTACCTCTACACCACACAACGGAGAACAAGATACGACGACCCAAATCAGGAGGCAGGGCACCAGGGAGCAGAACAGGAGATTCTCGGAGTTCAGTCAGCCTGTGACTCAAGGACAAGGTGAATGCAGGGAAACGGAGGACAGCAATGGCTCACTCAAACTCTCCCCACCTGCTTCCCGTTCAGGTTGTTCACACCTAGAAAACGGTGCAAATGTGAACTATAGATCACCCTTCCGGTTCTAGCTCAGCCGTCACCCTCTGGGCCCAGGAGGTGGGCCTCTGGCCGCGCAGGACAGCACCCTTTCTGCGGGAATCTGCACATGCTGGCAGGTGCTCCCACACCCAAACTTGCTGTGACATGGCATCGTGCCACCATCCAAGAGGCCCTGCAGTCAGATCTCCCGCCCACTCGGCCCTCGGGGTCTTGGCAGAGGCTTCCGTCCTCACCCTTACTGTTCTCCCTGCCTCCAACCCACCTACCAAACAGCCAAGAGCTTCCAAAGCTAACGGGGCCCGTGTTCACCTATCCGCAATCTTGTAACGCACAACGCGTCCAACTCCTCACTCCCAGGCCAGGGCCTGCATTCTGCCAGGTTCCCCAGGAATGGCACTTCAAGGGGAGTTCAATCCACCAACTTCGGCAGGAGACCTGGCGCCTTTCCACACACTCCTCACAGCTCCCCTGGTGCCTCTATGCCGCACTGAGAGCCTGCCCTGCCAGGACTCTGTCAAACAGCGACGTGCAATCCTGTCGGTGTGTCCCCAGCACAGCGGCTACTGGGTCCATGTGCTTCCCAACAAGTTACAGTACTCCACCAAAAAGCCCCCGGGCGGGCCGGCAGCAGCCAAGCAAGCTAACCCTCCACCTGTCTTGCTAGCATCCCACATGGACACTGATTTGAGTCCTAGCTGCTCCACTTCCCATCCAGTTCCGTGCTCATGCCCTGGGAAAGCCACGGAAGACAGACCAAGTCCTTGGGCGCCTGCACCTGCTTAAGAGACCCAGGGACACTCTTGGCTCTGGGTCAGCTGAGCTCCAGCCATTACAACCATCTGGGGAGAGAAGCAGCAGATGGAAGCTCTTCCCGCCCCTCTGTCCTTCTCTCTGTAAATCTGTCTTTTGAGTGGAAATAAATAGATCACTAAGGAAGGAAAGCAGGCAGGCTTGGTGGTTCCCTGAACTTGTGACCAAATGTACAAAGACTTGAAGTGAGCATCCTGGAAGTCAGTGCACAGAGAGAGAGAGAGATCTCTCATGCACTGGTTCACCCCCCAAGCGGCTGCATCAGCTGCAGTCAAGCTGATCCGAAGCCAGGAATCGGGAGTTTCTGGGTCTCCCAAGCGGGTGCAGGTCCCAAGCTTTGGGCCGTCCTCTGCTGCTTTCCCAGGCCACAGCAGGGAGCTGGATGGGAACTGATGGATGGCCATGAACCAGTGCCCACATGGGATCCCAGGCACACAAGGTGAGGATTTAGCCACCAGGCTACTAGGCTCAATTCTTGATACATGACAAGTAGATAAAACAATACAGTCAGTTACAAGTTTACAACTTAAATTTTTTTTATCAATATCTAAAACTTCTTTGAACAAATTGCGCTAAGTTAAGAGCACTGTGGTCGCTGCTTGGCCCACAGAGCCCAGCAGAGACGGCGAGGAGAGCAGAAGAAAACAGCGCGGCCAAGGTGTGGGCGCCTCGGCAACATCAACTGCGGGGCTTGCTGCAGCCGGCATGGAGACTGCCCCTGGGATGGTTTATCAGCAGCTACAGCAGCTAGGCTCAGCAGCTAGGCTCAGCAGAGTCTGTGCAGGTGAGACTCCCCGGAAACATGTGCACTGAGTCAGAACGCTACCACAAAGAGTGACCAAGGCTGCCAGGACCCCAAGCATTAGTCAACGCCAGGGTGAGGCCACTTTTAGAGCCTGACAGGCACAACGGTAAGGCCTGTCAGCAGGAAGGTCACAGCAGAAGCATCTGGTTCCCAGAAAACTCACACAGAATCACTACTGATCTGCGTGCCACAGGAACAACTCCTGAGGACCCGCACTTGCCCTCACACACTTCTCGGGCGAGGGGAAATCACCCGATTCTTTGAAAATAATTTTTTCCCGAAAGCAAATTTATTTATATGTATTTACTAATGTATGCATTAAATGTGCACACACAAAATCTGTTTGTTTATTGATATTTACATAGGGAGATGAAGAGACAGAGAAGGGCCCAGTATAGTGGCCTAGTGGGTAATTTCCTTGCCTTGCATGCACTGGGATCCCATATGGACACCAGTTCTAATCCTGGCAGCTCCACTTCCCATCCAGCTCCCTGCCTGTGGCCTGGGAAAGCAGTCGAGGACAGCCCAGAGCCTTAGGGCCCTGCACCGCATGAGACCCGGAAGAGGCTCCTGGCTGGTGGCGTCGGATCAGCTCAGTTCTGGTCACTGAGTTCACGAATGAACAAGGGATGAAGATCTTTCCTTCTCTAAATCTGCCTTTCCAATAAAAATAAGTAAATCTTTAAAAAATCTATATGAACCTTACTGTGGTTGCTTCAGAAGACAACAGGCGCCTTAGTCCTTTCAATTAGTGGAAGTGTGAGATAAACAGGTGGGAGGAGGGGCAGGAAGCATGAGTTTGCCCAGGAAGCTGCCCTAGCAGCCCATCCCCAAGCCCGACCTTGACCTCAAGTTCATTGCTCAACTCCAATCAGCTTTCAGTTTTGTTTCCTTTTGAAGTAAGTATTTCAAAGGCAGAGAGTGCGGAGAGACTTGGATTTTCCACCCACAGGTTCGTGCCCCCACAAGGCTGTCAGCCGGGGTGGGTGAAGCCAGCATGGAGGACACTCTCAGGGGGCTGGCGAGGACCCAGGGACTTGGGCCGCCAGCCATGGCCCCTCATGGTGGAGCCCTGCAAGAACCTGACATCAGAAGCAGAAGCACAAGTCCCACCAGGCACTCCAACACGGGGTGCAGGCCACCGCTGCCCACAGAGTATCCATTAAGGAAAAACTCCAAAGATGGAACAAAAGGGTGGGTCTCATCTTGTAGGGTCCGGTGCAGCGCCTCCTACTGGCTGAAACAGGCAGCACTGTCAGAAGCCAGTGAGGAGTGCCAAGAAGTGAGGCCAGGGACCAGGGAACTGCAATGAGTCCCAAATGAAGACAGCTGCAGAAAGGAACTTAACAAGTCCTGAGACTACTTCCACCCAAGGACTGAGGAATCGTGGGCAGGGCAACAAGAAGACCACGGGCACAGGCGGGGAGCAGAGGCGAACGCGGCCGCTCTCGGCACCCACGAGATCCGACTGCCCGCACGGCACCAGGTGCCGCAGAGAGCAACAAAACATGCATCCCTTTTGAACCTGTATTTTAAAAAGTAACATGCTTGACAGAGAAAAAGAAAAAAAAAAAAGAGAGAACAAATTACCACAAAGAACTAAAAATACTATGACACACTAGCCCGGCTGCTAGGCCGGCTCATGGTCTTCAGTCACAAAGCAAACGGGAGTCAGAGGACACGAGCGAGCGTGAGTGCCCTGAGCAAGAAACGCCATCTTGTAGCACATCCAGAGGCCGGGGGGCCTGGGGGACGGACACGGCACGCAGGACAGTTCTCAGGGTGGACAATCGGCTTCATCTCACACTTCCTGTGATCAGGAAGACCCGAGGACCTCACAATGACTGTGCCTTGGTGACGACAGAGCAGCAGCGCGGTTTTATATTCGACCTCGGACTTCGTGAATGTCATGTTTTTCCACTCACCCACACAAGACTTCCAAAACTAAAGGCAAGCCTTAAGAACTTGTAAATTTGCTTTATATACAGAGTGTCTAACTCTTTTCTTCCAATACAACCTCCTTCTCTTTCACGACAAACTGGCCTTTCCTTGCAGTTTCTGGAATTGTCCTGATTTTCTAATCTGCTCATAACTGGCATTAACTGCCTTCTCCCTCCCGACACGTTCTAGGCTGGCCCTGGGACTGGCACCATCTCCACATGGCCAGCTCTGCCCCTGCCGGTCCTGGTGCACCATCGCTCTCCAGATTCGCTGTCCTCCTGGTTGAAGGCGACCCTACTCATTACCACAGCAGGCTGGGAACATGCGCTCCAGACAAGTCTGCAATCCTACTGTCTTGCGAAAAACAAAACAAATTCAACTTACCTTTAGAAAATACTTACTGAATCGTCACTATAAAAACAGAAGTAAATAATAATGCTCTCCTTTCCCTTGACAAAAAAAATCTCTTGCACACACAGGCAAAATTTAATACCTGTTCTCCTTGCCATTCTGAATCACTGAGTGCCGGTCAGCTGTGGTTCTCTCGCTGCACACGTAAGTGTTTCGCCGTGTCATCCCGCCAGATGCGGTGTTACTCTACAACAGAGGGCATTCTGCCGTAAGCTATTTGGCAAATATATCACAATAAAATAACGATAACTCTCCTCCACAGACAAGAGTACTCAGTGGAGATAAATAAAAGGCTGACCCACCACAACCAATTCGTTGAGAACTTGAAGCAAGACAGTAGGAAGGTATGGGGCTGGTGAAGTGGCATACAGGCAAAACCACAGCTGAGGTCAGCATCCCATAGGTGAAGGGAGTGTCCTGGGAACCCCATGTCTAATTCAGCTCTCTGTTACTGCCTAGAAAAAGCAGCAAAAGATAGCCCAAGTGTTGGGGTCCCAGCACCCACATGGCAGACCTGGGTTGGGCTCCTGGCTCTGCCCACAATAGGCTCCTGGACAGTAAACTGGCAGACGGAAGCTGTACCTCTACCTCTGACTTTCAAACAATTATATGATTTATACATGCAGCTGGAGCTAAGACTCAACAGTCTAATCTTCCACCTTCAAGCTCCAGCCTCTCATACGGGCATCAGTTCATGTCCCGGCTGCCCCACTTCCCAGCCAGCTCCCTGCTGATGACTTGGGAAAGCAGCAGAGGACGGCCCAAGCCTTGGGACCCTGCGCCCATGCAGGAGACCTGGAGAAAGCTCCTGCCTTCAGGTCAACTCAGCTCCAGCCACGCGGCCAACTGGGAAGTTAACCAGATGATGAAGGACCCTTCCTTCTCTGTCTCTCCTCTCTGTAGATCTACCTTTCCAATAAAAATCAATGAATCTTTTATTATTTTTTAACTCATAAAGTAAAGGGGTATAAAACATGTATGTGACACTGGGTTCATAGATATGACCCCCACAAGCATGAGTAACTGAAGAAAAAACGTATAATGTTATCAAATTTGAATTCAGGGCTGGCGTCAAGTCATAAAAAGCTCAGTTTCAAGTCCTGGCTCTCTGCTTCAGACCCAGCTCCCTGCTAATGTGACCAGGAAAGCAGCAGAGGGCGGCGGCTGCACCCACACGGACGACGTGGAAGAAGCTGCTGGCTTCAGACTGGCCCAGCCCCGGCCGATGCAGCCAGGTGGGGCAACACAGAGATCTCTCTGCTGTTCCTTCTCTCTGTAACTCTACCTTTCAAATAAAAATAAAATCTAAAAACAAACAAACAAACAAAAAACACCTGACAAGCAAGTGAAAGGAAACTTCTACAAAGAAAATATCTGTAAATAATATACCTGAGGGTCTACTTTCAAAATACATTTAAAAAATCTTACAAGTCAATCACAATATACTTTAACAGCTCAATTAAAAAATGGGCAACTGGACCCAGCATGGTCTGATTGCTAAATCCTCCCCTTTCAAGTGTTAGCATCCCATATAGGCACTGGTCCATACCCCAGCTGCTCCACTTCCTTGCACCCACATGGGGGACTAGGAAGAAGCTCCTGGCTCCTAGCTTCAGACTGGCTCAGCTCCAGCCATTGCAGCCATTTGAGGAGTGAACCAGCAGACAGAAAATCTTTTTTCTGTGTCTCTCCTTCTCTCTATAAATTTGCCTTTCCAATAAAAATAAATCTTTAATAAACAAACAAGCTGGGCCTGGCATGGTAACCTAGCGGCTAAAGTCCTTGCCTTGCACACACTGGGATCCCATATGGGCGCTGGCTTGTGTCCCGGCAACCCTGCTTCCCATCCAACTCCCCGCCTGTGGCCTGGCAAAGCAGTGGAGGATGGCTGAAAGCCTTGGGACCCTGCACCTGCATGGGAGATCTGGAAGAAGCTCAGCTCAGCTCTGGCCACTTTGGGAGTGAATGAGTGGGTGGAATATCTTCCTCTCTGTTCATCCAACTTTGTTTTTAAAGATCTGTTTTTTCTTTAAAAGCAAACAAACTACAGAGGGCCAGCGTGGTGGGTCAACTGGATAATCCTCCACAGGCCAGTGCAACCTATATGAGCTTGTTTGTGCTGTCCTGGCTGCCCCCTTGCTTATGGCCAAGTCCTTGAGACCCCCAATCTAGCTGAAAGACCCAGAAGCTCCTAGCTCCTGCATCCCAAGTGGATGCTGGCTTCAGTCCCAATTGCTCTCCTTCCAGTCGAGTTCCCTGCTAACACACTAGGAAAACAGTGAACAGTCCTTTTGTCCGTGTCCCCAAGGGAGACCAGAAGTACTTCCTGCTTCTGGCCATTACAGCTCTTCGACACAGGAACCAGCAGATGCAAAATCACGTTCCGTCTCTCCCTCTCTCTGTAACTTGGCCTTTCAAACAAACAAAATCTTTTAAAACAATGGTACAAGACAGGTAAGCCTTGAAGGAACCATGCTGAGGCAAACACGTCTGATTCAGAGAGCTCCATGTCGTCTGACCCCTAGCAGAGGTCAAGGAGGAGATGGGCAGTGATGGACGCTGACAGATGTGTCACAGCCCTGTCAGCGTACAACATGCCACTGAACTGCAGGCTTCAGTCACACTGATGTCACACGAATTCTCTCTCAAAAGAAAAAGGAACAAAAATCACATTTGAAGATTTTTGTCACAAAATTTTTATACTGAGAAAGCACTTAACCAGCCAAGTGGACTCAGGTACAGAGGAGTTCCAAAGACAGTAAAACAACATTAAACTTGAAGATTAGTTTCTTGTTAAGTAATCACCTATGGGCAACCTACTGCCCACTCTGCTAAAGGGCATCAGGCAGGTATTTGGGGGAGGGGGCGACAGGCCAGGAGGGCAGACCCTGAAGTCCTGCTCATCTCAGCCAGGTGCCAATCCCAACTGAGGACTGCATTCAAATTGCAGGACTCTGGAAGGCCAACTAAACTCCACAGCACTCAGGGCCAGCAGGGAACAGTATGGGCCTTGCCCCCAGAGCCATACAACAGAGGATCTGGGCTCCCCACGAGCTGCTGGTGGAGGCCAGGGTTGTGTGTGAGGCTGTATCATGATCAGGTCTAAGGAAAAATGTGCTGAAAGCAAAGCCTCAACAGAATTTGCAACCTTGTAAATTCTAGAACTGCTTCTGTGAGTGCTGCCATATGGATAGAAGATAGGTCAACCCATGGGAAAATGGCTCAAGCCAAATATATCCAACTGAATGGACTAAATACTACCTACTTACCGAGGAGAGTTCTTAAAGGGTCAGCTGAAGAGCTGGATTCAGGTCGGCAGCATAATTTTAGGCAATTACCTCATGTTCTCACTTTCTCTCCTTTAGAATTTTGTTAATCCATGGGCCCTGGCACATGGCAAGGACTCCAACAATGTTCCCTTCTCATGGCAGCGTTCTGAAAACTGAGCAGGGCATGCGGCAGCGAGGGGGACGTCCCAGCTGGCAGACAGAGATTCTCAGTCACTGGCTCGCTTCCCCAGTGGCCACCGTGGCAGGACAGAGGGCCAGAAAGCCACCAGGTCATGTCAAGTGGGTGGCAGGGGCACACGAGTCCCCGGCTGCCTCCAGGCTCATGGGAGAGATCAGTCTCGACTCTCGCTGGTCTCCTGGGGGACGCTGGTGTCACAGGTGATGGACTAGCCAACTCTGTCGACATGAGCCCGCAAGGAGCCATCTTGGATGCAGAGTACAGCCTCAGCAGATACCGTACCTGTTTGCACTCTCATCTTGGGTTGTTTACCCTCTAGCCAAAATCATTCACCCAGTCCCCAGTACCCTGGCAGAGCAGCAGGAAGACTAGGAGAGGGCACGTGTCAATCACAGGTGACTCTGCAGCCCAGCACTACTTACACTGGGGGTGACGGAGCTCTTCTTGCGTTCAGGAATATCTGCCTTGTTGGGGTTACTCGCATTCCCAAGCATGGGACTGGCTGGAGCAATCCCCTTCCCTCCAACAGCACTGACGCTCGTTTTCCGGGAGGGAATTCCATCTTCTTTGAGGTCACTATCTGCGGTGCTGGTCTGACTCCTTTTTGGGTATGCCACAACTGAAGGAACAGCTGGGCCAGCTAAAATAAAGAGCTCAGTTTTAAGACAGAATATCATTTCTATCTTATTAAGAGAAAAACAAAAACAAAACCAACAACATACATTTTTAAAGATGATCTAAGAAAACAATAAACCCTCTAACGTGTTTTACATCGACACATATTCACTCTATACAATTAATTCAATTCTGACATTACACGTATTAGTTTATTTCTGCTTTAAAAAAAAATCGGGCCCAACATGATGGTTTGATTGGCATATCCTCACCCTGCACATGCTGGGATCCCATGTGGGTGCTGACTCGGGTCCCAACAGCTCCACTTCCCACCCAGCTCCCTGCTTGTGGCCTGGGAGAGCAGTGAGGACGGCCCAAAGCCTAGGGACCCTGCACCACATGGGGGACCCAGAAGTCCCTGGCTCCTGGCTTTGGATGGACTAACTCTGGCCATTGTATTCATATGGGGAGTGAGTCAGCACACAGGAGACCTTATCCTCTGTCTCTCCTTCTCTCTGTTTATCTGCCTTTCCAATAAAAATAAATTTAAAAAAAAATCATTAATTTGAAAGACTTACAGAGTGATAGAGACTGTCACCTGCAGTGAATGCTCCAAGTGGGGTTGACACTGAGCCGAGCCAAGATGGTGCCTGGGTCAAGAGGCTGAGCTTTGGGCTCGGCGGCGTGGCCTAGTGGCTAAAGTCCTCGCCTTGAACGCGCTGGGATCCCATATGGGCACAGGTTCTAATCCTGGCAGCTCCACTTCCCATCCAGCTCCCTGTTTGTGGCCTGGGAAAGCAGTCGAGGACGGCCCAAAGCCTTGGGACCCTGCACCCATGTGCGATACCTGGAGGAAGTTCCTGGCTCTTGGCTTTAGATCAGCTCAGCACCGGCCGTTGTGCTCACTTGGGGAATCTACTAGCGGATGGAAGATCTTCCTCTCTGTCTCTCCTCCTCTCTGTATATCTGACTTTGTAATAAAAATAAATAAATATTAAAAAAAAAAAAAAGAAAAAGCAGCAGCAGCTGAGCTTTGCCCTGTCACCAGCAGGAATCTGGTACAGAAACATAGCAGCCAGGATTTAGCCTGGTGTCCACACAGGACACCATACCAGCGGCCAGGACGTGGCCTGTGTCCACATGGGACACCAGTACTGCAGACTGTAACTTAGCGTGATGCGCCACAAAGCCAGTCACTTTGCTATTTCTAATTTTTAAATATTTACTAATTGGGGGCTCGGCGCGATGGCGCAGTGGTTAAGGTCCTCGCCTTGCACGCCCGGGATCCCATATGGGCGCCGGTTCTAATCCCGGCAACTCCACTTCCTACCCAGCTCCATGCTTGTGGCCTGGGAAAGCAGTCGAGAACGGCCCAAAGCTTTGGGACCCCGCACCCACGCGGGAGACTCAGAAGAGGCTCCTGGCTTCAGATCAGCATAGCATCAGCTGTTGCGCTCACTTGGGGAGTGAATCATCAGACGGAAGATCTTCCTCTCTGTCTCTCCTCTCTGTATATCCACCTTTCCAATAAAAATAAAATAAATCTTTAAAAAAAAATTTACTTATTGGGCCTGGCATGATAGTGTAGCGGCCAAGGTCCTCACCTTGCATGTGTGGGGATCCCATATGGTCACCGGTTCTAATCCCGGCAGCCCTGTGCAGTGGACACGTGGACAGTTCCCTGCCACCAGCCTGACACCATACTGAGCCAGCCCAGACCACAGGCAAGAGCACAAGAAGTGGACACTGAGCCATCTGTTGTCACTTAAAAAACAAGAACCCGAGGCAGACAACACGAGCCACATGTGGACAGACAGAGCTTCAGTCGGCGTCTTACTCTGCAAACGCCTCCAACTGTCCTGGGGCGGGCCCACAGCTGGATCCAGGAGTTGGGAATTGTGTCAGCATTCCAAGGCAGGTGATAGGAGCTGAGCTGATTGGCCATCACTCACTGCCTGCAGAGTCTGACATCAGCAGTCAGCGGGTCTGGAAGCAGAGCCAGGACCTGAACCCACTCACTGCACTATGGAATGCTGAGCCTAGGAGCTTCAAGCACGAGGCCAAAACCAAAACTGTGGGGTGAGCTTTTGGTATGTCAGCTGTCACTTGGGATTCCTGCAGCAGATACTGGCTCCCTGCCAGGTTGGCTGCTGATGTGGCACTGCAGAACGGAACAGGCAATGGAGCACAGCAGCCCCATAAGGGAGGCCTGGACTGAGTTCCAGGCTCCTGCCCTGTTTCAAGCACTTTGGGGTGTGAATCGGTAAATGAAAGACTGTTCTGTCTCTGTTTCTCTGCCTTTGAAACAAACCAAATCAAACAATCCAACCCCACAACTCATTAAAACTATTTACATCTAGAATGTTCTGTGTTCCAAGTGTCAAATCTCAGACATATTACAGAGGTGAAAGATGTCCAGAGAAGAGGGAATGGAACAGATAAGGAATGAATGGCAGGTGGAGGCAGGTTCCCTTTTAGGACATGAGTCTTAACTATCAACTGAGTCTGTGCCACACTTGTGGGTTAGGGTGCCATCTGAGACACCGGCATTTAAACCAAATGCTTCTTTCTAGTCCCGGAAGCCCTGTGTCTCTGCTGGAGCTTCCTGGATGAATACCTGAGTTCCTCCCACCCACACAGGAGACTTGGGAGTTCCTGGCCCCTGGTCTGGCCTGACCTGGCTCTGGCTGTTCCATATATTTGGCAAATGAGCCAGCAGACAGAGCTCCATCATTCTTTCAAATAAATAACTAAATACATTAAAAAAAAAAAAAAAGGAAAAGATATGAGTAGACTCATAGAAATTTAGTTTATGAATTCTAAGATACTTAAGTTGCAGAAATAACTGTATTGTTTTTTCTTCTTAAAGATTTATTTATTTATTTGAAAAAGCTACAGGGAGGAGGAGAGATCTTCCAACTGCTGGCTCACTCCTTAAATTACTGCAACAACTGGGAGTGTGTCAGGCCAAGCACAAGCTTCTAGAACCCTACATGGGTACAGTCGGGCCATACTCTGTTGCCTTTCTAGACACAGTAGCAAGTGGCAGCTTTACCTGCTGCAGCATGCACTGGTGCCACCACCTACAAGATGATCATTCATCTTTTAGGGTAAATGAACACACAGTACAGACCTGGGACTCCAACCCAGGAGGACTGACTTAAAAGGTAGAGCCATGGGGAGCTCAAAGAATGCAGCCCTGGGACCTGAAGCTTTAAAATAGTGGCTACTATGATAAATTTTAAGAATAAGGATGGTTTAATTATAGCAACAATAGAGTGTGGATGAGAATGGCAAAGCAAACACCAACCAACCAACCAAAAATCCGTACACCCATCTAGGCTCCTCTGGGTTAGCCTGTCTAACATGAAAGCTACAAGGCCGGGCCCAGCTGTGAATCTATCACTTCATTTCCTAACTGAGGTACACATTTCCATCAATACTGGAAGCTCCAGAGAGCCAGGCTGGAGGAGAGGAACAGACAGAGGGTGTGGCTGGCAGACAGAGAGCCCAGCAGATAACCTCACTCAGCAAAAGCACTGGATGTGTCCCACCAGCCATCGCAGGGGGGCTGAGAAAGAAGGGGCGGTCGATCCCAAGGCAGCGAGGACACCCAGGGCCAGCAGCTGAGGACACGGGGGGGAGCAGCCTCACACTCACCGTGGTCACTGTACCTTCGCTGTTTCTGGCTTGAAGACACACCCCTCTGCACTTTGTGGTGAGGGGACTGGCCAGTACTGTTGTTGAGGTCACTGCTCGGCCTGACCTTAGCAAGTGAGAGATTGCTGCTAGAACTGGAGTCACTAGCATCCAGCTAGGAGAAACGAGACAAACAGGGCAGAGCACAATACAGACCCAAACGATTTAGTAGGAAACTAAACTTCTCCCAGCACATTAAGTAGCTCATCCAGACATAGAAGAATCTCAATGTGCGAAGATAACAATCGTAAAATTAGGTACAAGTATTTCTTATGGCTGCTGGAAAAATCCAAAACAGCTTGTGTCTGTCATCCTCCTTGGAGGCGTTTTCAAATGTTCTTTCTCCTCTGCTTGGTATTTTTCATGATCCCTGCGCTAGCGAAGACCACGGCTTACCTACGAACACCCCAGCCGGGCCAGTACCCACCACCAAGGGGCACAGTTAACAGAGCAGCTCATAGCAGTCTTAGTAGGCTGCTTTGCAGGCAAATTTGAAAAACCGATTAAATCTACTACATACATTAAGGAAAGCCCTTGCACAGTTACGGACATAAAGGCCCTGAGCCCCCCTCGCCCTCACCTCTGAAGACTTCCTCCCCAGCAGCAAATAGGTAGCTGTGACCTCATCGTATTTCATTTTACTGAGAGATTCCTGAATTTCTTCCTGTGAATATCCCATTCCGACCATAATATCTAAAACAAAGACATAATACAGTTAATGCTTGAACACAATAATTTATTTGACCTATCACAAATGAGTAATTTATTGTTCCAGGAGTAGTGGGTGCTACTGCAGGAAGCTGCAGGCTTTGAGGTCTCAAATGTAACAACAGACAAGCCGATTCGCACAACCCGGGCCTAACTCCCCACGAGCGGAGACAGAAGCGCACAAGCACACACCCTCAACCACAGGGTAATTACCTATTCTTTTCTGATCTGAGATGTCCAGTTCTGGTTCAACAAATGGTTTCAGTTCATCCTCCTCATGTCCTGCATTGATCCATCTGTCCTTCATGATTTGCTAGAAAGACAAGCTGTTTGTCAGCAGCATAGAATGTTCCAATAATCAGAAAAATCTATTTTTAACATTTCAATAATTATACAAAGAAAAAACTTAAAAATGCATCGCTAATGCTTCAATTCAGTCTTAAATGGTGCCAGGAAAGTGCTCGGTTTATCAGAAAATGAAGCAGTTACTCATGATCTGGGGTTACCTCTAGAGTGCCTCGTTTAATTGGGTTTAGCACCAGGAAACGTTTGAGAAGGTTTTCACAGTCTGTGGACATGTAGAAAGGGATTCTGTACTTCCCTCTTAACACTCTCTCTCTTAGTTCCTTTGAGGGGGTAGAGAAGAAAGAAAGAAGAGTGAGCTGATTTGCCATGTTTTAAAATTCTTCTACAGTTGTTCAAGCCCCTGGATGAAATGCATTTTATACCTTTAGGTTCTGGCCGTCAAAGGGCAGGGAGCCGCTGACCAGCGTGTACAGAATGACACCCAGACTCCACACGTCAACTTCCGGCCCGTCATACTTCTTGCCCTGGAAGAGCTCCGGGGCCGCATAAGGAGGACTGCCGCAGAAGGTGTCTAGTTTACTGCCAACAGTAAATTCATTGCTAAAACCGAAGTCTGCTATTTTAATGTTCATATCCGCATCTAACAATAGATTTTCAGCCTAGAAGAAAACATCAAGATATAAATAAAATTAACTCAAAACAGGTTCATAAACATGATAGGATTAGGTGTTCTTAAAATGATATGAAGTTGGGCTCGGCGGCATGGCCAAGCAGCTAAACTCCTCGCCTTGAACGCACCAGGATCCCACATGGGCGTGGGTTCTAATCCCGACAGCTCCACTTCCCACCCAGCTCCCTGCTTGTGGCCTGGGAAAGAAGCCAAGGACAGCCCAAAGCCTTGGGACCCTGCACCCACATGGGAAAGATTCCTTGTTCCAGGCTTCGGATCAACGCAGCACTGGCCGTTGCGCTCACTTGGGGAGTGAATCATTGGAAGGAAGAGTTTCCTCTCTGTCTCTCCTTCTCTCTGTATAGCTGACTTAGTAATAAAAATAAATATTTTTTAAAAAAATGATATGAAGTTATGATCAACTAAATTTGTTTTCCCTACAGAAAAACAGAGGCAAGTCAGAACTTTTAACTGTATAACATTAACAATCAGTATCAGATATGAGGTACAGTTCTAACCTGAACATCAAATGCCTTGGATCAACAAAATGGATGTTGTTTCTACACTCGGCTCCTCAGCTGTGTCTACTTTCCCGCTACCACAGGACCTGAGTGGCAGAGTTCAGGGGCCAAACGTGGACTTCTGCCACAAATGGGGAAGACCAGGATCGAGCTCCTAACCTGAACTTGGCTGGGTTCCTCTAAGTAAAAAATTAATATTTTTTAAAAGATGTATTTATTTTTATTGGAATGACAAATTTACAGAGTGAAGAAAGTTTTTCCATCTGCTGGTTCATTCCCCAAGCGACAGCAATGGTGGGAGTTAGGCTAATCTGAAGCCAGGAACCCGGAACCTCTTCCATGTCTCCCACACGGGTGCAGGGTCCCAAAGCCTTGGGCTGTCCTCGACTTCCTTCCCAGGCCACAGGCAGGGAGCTGGGTGGGAAGTGGAGCAGCTGGGACACGAACCAGTGTTCATGTGTTCTTGGCACTTGGAAGGCAACGATTTAGCCACTGAGGCACTGCACTGGACTCATCATTAATAAATTTAAAACAAGAAACAAACCAACGGGGCATATTATTTTGAACCCCCACAACTGTGAGATGAATAAGTTAGCCTCCTTGGACATTTCTCTGTAGTGATAAAAGGGTGACGGGTTTGGCGCAATAGCCTAATGGTTAAAGTAGTGACTTTGCATACGCTGGGATTCCATACGGGCGCCGGTTCATGCCCTGGCAGCCCCACTTGCCATCCAGCTCCCTGCTGCCTCTGCTGCCTTCCCAGGAAATGGAAAGAGCAGCTGAGGTTCACACTAGTGCTCTGGAAGGGCATGCCAGCACTCCAAGCGGCAGCTGACCCTGGCACGTGGTGCTTCTCTCACCTTGACCTACTCCATCTGCTCATTTACTCTCCAAACCTGGAAACCAGTGTTGGGCCTCGCCACAGTCAAGAACCCAGAGGTCAATTCAAGTGTCACATTTAGGTGACAGGACCCAAGCATTCACCTACTTCGCTGCTCAGACAGCTGCAGCAATAGCGTAGGACATAAACAATCACACATCTGGGATGGCAGCCTTGGAACCCTGCACCCACATGGGGACCTGGAAGGAGCTCCTGGCTTCCGCTACTCCAGCCACTGTGGCCATTTTGGAAGAGAACCAGCAGATGGACAATATCTCTCTCTGTAACTTTCTTTTCAAACAAAAAGAAAATAAATCTTTAAAGACAGAGAACTCTCGATTCACTAAGGAGCAGCGCCAGAAGGACCTGGTCACTGAGCTGAAGGTGACGGACCCGGAGGAGCATGGGCATGGCCGTCTCCAGGACGAAGTGCGGACTCCACTGCACTGACGGCTTGTGGCAACCAAGGTGCCAGAGAGGCTCAGGAGAAGATTCTCCACAAACTGGCTCTGCAGCCCAGGACAGCTCTGGCTGTAGAAATGGTGACCAGCTACATGAACTTGGACACTGCAAATGCTAAGATGAGCCAAATGCCCTGTGGGCAGCAGCAAGCAAGCACCATGAGGAAAGAGTTGAGTGTCAAGACAAAACAGAATCTAGAAAACCTTCACACCACGGCTCTGCGGTAAGAGCAGACGGCGCAGCAGGTAGCAGTGTGGCGCCGAGGGCCGCTAGGGTGCTGGGCAGCAGCAGCGTTCCAAGGGCCTGAGCCTGGCCAGCCAAGGCAGCCAGGGCGCGTGCCAGGCTCCTGGGTTTGGGCGAGGATGGTGCTGGCTCTTGTCTGTATCTGGGGAGGGAATTGCAACAGGAAGATCTCTATCAGCCTGTTTCCAGGCTCTGCTTTTCAAGTAGATAAAAAGATGTCAAAAATAGACGTTTTTCCTTTAAAAAAAAAAAAAAAAGGAAAGTAAAGCTTATAATAACATGGCATAGCTGGGGGCTGTCAACCTGGGTCAGCCCTGGCTGCTGCAGCCATCTGGAGTCAATCAATGCACTGAAGATCTCTCTCCATTTTGTATGTTAACTCTGCCTTTAAAAAAAAAAGATTGATTTATTTTTATTAGGCAGATATACAGAAGGAGGAGAGACAGAGAGGAAGATCTTCTGTCCAATGGTTCACTCTCCAAGCTGTCGCAACGGTTGGAGCTGAGCTCATCTGAAGCCAGGAGCCAGGAACTTCCTTCAGGTCTCCCACGCGGGTGCAGGGTCCCAAGGCTTTGGGCCGTCCTCGACTGCTTTCCCAGGCCACAAGCAGGGAGCTGCATGGGAAGCAGGGCCGCTAGGATTAGAACCAGCATTCATATAGGATCCCAGAGCGTTCAAGGTGAGGACCTTAATCGCTACGCTATCAAGCTGGGCCCAACCCCACCTTTTAAATACAAAAATCTTAGTTAAAAAATTAGAAATTAAAAAGAAAAAGCAAAGCATTACTAGAAACAGGAAAGGAGCAGAGAAACAGAAGCACACAGCAGTCTAAGGAGGCAGCCACACATCCCTGGGTTCCTAAGGGGTGTGGCCCTCCTGCAGGCTGCGCTACCAACTGCTTCCACTGCAACCTAACTCTCAGGACAGCTCATCTGTTTACTGTAGCTTGAACTGCGCTCCAGGACTACAGCATCTACTGCTTCTTCATCGTACAAACTAACGCTCTCACTTGTATAATGAGACATAAATGTAGCATCCTCCTGGTATAAAGGAAATTGGACTCACTTTGAGGTCTCTGTGCACGATGCGTTTTTGGTGGCAATACTGCACTGCAGACACGATCTGGAGAGAGAGAGAGAGAGCCTTGTCAGTCACAGCTGTGGGATGCACAATGAAGAGGACGATGCTCTATTCATGTTTATACATGCAGACAGTCGCTTAGCACTTGAATAGCTCTGTACATTTTAAGAAGAATTTTCTGGAAAAATTCAGGGACAACAGCAAGTAGAGCAGGTGAGAGGACTTTGTCCCTGTTTCCTGTTCAGCCTACAGGTTGCAATCTTTGTGTGTGCATGAAAGGTTTACTTCTTTCCGTGAAAGTCAGAGTTACAGAGGAGAGACGGATAGAGATCTTTTCTTAGCTGGGTCACTCTGCAGTCACGCCAGGAAGGGCTGGGCAGGCCCAAAGCAAGGAGCTTCTTCCTCCTCTCCCGTGAGACCACAGGGGCCCAAATTCTCGGGTCATCCGCGGATGCCTCTCCAAGGCACTTTCAATGAGCTGGATGGGATGCAGAGCAGCTGGGACGCGAACCAGTGCCTACATGGGACGAGGTGTCACGGGTGCAGGGTCAGACTACCACAGCACTCCAGGAATCCCACTTCTTTTCTCCCTTTCTCTTTTTTTAAACATTAAGTTGTTTTTATGGTAAAGTCAGGTTTACAGAGAGATCTTCCATCTGCTAGTTGACTCAACAAGTGGCAGCAACAACCAGGAGTCAGGAGCCTCTTCCAGGTCTGCCATGCAGGTGCAGGTCCCAAGGCTTTGGGCCGTCCTCGACTGCTTTCCCAGGCCACAAGCAGGGAGCTGGATGGGAAGCGGAGCAGCCAGGACTAGAACCGGCGCCCATATGCGATCCTAGTGGATGTGAAGCCATTAGGCTACCACACCAAGCCCCCTTTCTTTGGATTTATTTATCTTAAAGGAGTGTCAGAGGGAAAGGTGGCAGGGGAGGAGAAAAAGTATCTTCCAGTCCCTGGTTACTGAAATGTTTGCAACAGCTTGTACCAGGACAGAAGGAGGCCAGGAGTCAACAATCGCCTGCATGTCCCGCAGGGTGGCAGGAGTCAACAATCGCCTGCATGTCCCACAGGGTGGCAGGAGTCAACAATCGCCTGCATGTCCCACAGGGTGGCAGGAGTCAACAATCGCCTGCATGTCCCACAGGGTGGCAGGAGTCAACAATGGCCTGCATGTCCCACAGGGTGGCAGGAGTCAACAATCGCCTGCATGTCCCACAGGGTGGCAGGAGCCCAAGTTCTTGGGCCATGGTAAACTACTAGCTCTCAGGTACATAAGTAGGAAGATAGATTAGAATCACAGGGCAGGGCCTGACATGATGGCTCAGGGGCTAAATCTTTGCCTTGTACGTGCCGGGATCCCATTAAGTCCTGAGTGCTCTACTTTCCTTCCCATGAGCTCCCTGCCTGTGGCCTGGGAAAGCTTCAGAGGATGGCCTAAAACCTTGGGACCCTGCACCCACACGGGAGACCCAGAGGAAGCTCCTGGTTGCTGGCTTCAGATCAGCTCACCTCTGGCGATTGCTGGCAATTACGGGAGTGAACCAGTGGATGGAAGATTTCTCCTTTTTGTCTCTCCTTCTCTCTATAACTCTAAGTTTCCAATAAGTTCTTAGAAAAAGAGGTACAGTCAACACCAGCTCTGTGATGCTGGTACCCCTATGGTGCTGGTTCAAGAACTGGCTACTGGGCCCGGCGGCGTGGCCTAGCGGCTTAAGTCCTCACCTTGAACGCCTGGGATCCCATATGGGCGCCGGTTCTAATCCCGGCAGCTCCACTTTCCATCCAGCTCCCTGTTTGTGGCCTGGGAAAACAGTTGAGGACGGCCCAAAGCCTTGGGACCCTGCACCCACGTGGGAGACCTGAAGGAAGTTCCTGGCTCCTGGCTTCAGATCGGTATAGCACTGGTCATTGCACTCACTTGGGGAGTGAATCATCAGATGGAAGATCTTCTGCTCTGTCTCTCCTTCTCTCTGTATATATCTGACTTTGCAATAAAAATAAATACATTTTTTTTTAAAATTAGTGTACAAACGAAATTTTAAAAAATATTTTTTTAAAATAAAGATTTATTTTTATTGCAATGACAGAAAAACAGAGAGGAGGAGAGACAGAGAGGAATATCTTCCATCTGATGATTCACTCCCCAAGTGAGCACAACGGCCGGTGCTACGCCAATACAAAGCCAGGAGCCAGGAACCTCCTCCCGCTCTCCCATGCAGGTGCAGGGTCTTGCCAGGCCACAAGCAGGGAGCTGGATGGGAAGCAGCGCTGCCAGGGCATGAACCGGCGCTCATATGGGATCTCGGCACGTTCAACGTGAGGCCTTTCGCCACTAGGCCACTGTGCCAGGCCATGTATGCTAAACTTTATAATTACATTTCCCCAGTGAAATATAAGACAAATAAAAAAAGTTGTCTTAGTTGATTAAAAAAAAAAAAAAAAAAAAAAAAAAAGGCAGTAGGCCAGTGCAATGGCTCAGTTCGCTAAACCTCCCACTGCAACAGCCGGGACCCATGTGGGCACCAGTTCACATCCCAGCTGCTACACTTTCCATCTGGCCCCGGGCTTATGGCCTGGAAGAGCAGTGCAGGACGATCCAAGGCTTTTAGACCCTGTACACACATGGCAGACCCGTAAGAAGTTCCTCGTTCCTGGCTTTGGATCAGCTTATCTCCAACCGTTACAGCCATTTGGGAGTAAATCACTGGATGGAATATCTTTATCTTTGCTTCTCTCTGTAAATCTGCTTTTTATAATAGAAATAAATATATTGAAGGAAGGAAGGAAGGAAGGAAGGAAGAAAGGAAGGAAGGAAGGAAGAAAGGAAAGGAAAGGAAAGGAAAGGAAAGAAAAGGAAAGAAAAGGAAGGAAAGGAAGGAAAGGAAGGAAGGAAGGAAGGAAGGAAGGAAGGAAGGAAGGAAAGAAGGAAGGGAAGGAAGGGAAGGAAGGAAAGGAAGGAAAGGAAGGAAGGAAGGAAGGAAGGAAGGAAGGAAGGAAGGAAGGAAGGGAAGGAAGGAAAGGAAGGAAGGAAGGAAGGAAGGAAGGAAGGAAGGAAAGAAGGAAGGAAGGAAGGAAGGAAGAAGCAACAGTGAGCACTCTTGAGGCACCCACCTGCCGGGCCATCTCCAGGGTATATAAACCCCGACACAGGCTGTTCGGAGTGAAGCCACAGCCGACTGGCAGCCTAGAGCACAGCAGGGCGCCACAAACAGGCTTCCGCCAAGCGGACCGTTATTTTATTTAAGATGAATACTCGTTACATTAGATCCACTCATAAGTAACTAAAGACACAAAAATCCTGGTCAAAAGACATGTTTCAGAACATCTACTCTGCTGGATTACCAGCACTGCTGCTGCACAGAGCAGTGTGGAAAGACAAACAGCTGAGATTTGTACATTGTTCTCGGAACAAAGGGACAGACCCATTACCCAGGACACTGGTGACAAAACCTCACAAATGCCTCCTCTACCTTTTCCAATTTTCCCATTCTGTATCTGGATCTGCTTTTCTGAATTTTTTTCTCTCTTTTTTAAGATTTATTTCATTTTCATTGGAAAGTCAGATATACAAAGAGGAGGAGACAAAGATCTTCCGTCCGATGATTCACTCCGCAAGTGAGCAACAGCCGGTGCTATGACGATCCGAAGCCAGGAGCCAGGAACTTCTTCTAGGTCTCCCACACAGGTGCAGGGTCACAAGGCCCTGGGCTGTCCTCTACTGCTTTCCCAGGCCACAAGCAGGGAGCTGGATGGGAAGTGGAGCTGCCGGGATTAGAACTGGTGCCCATATGGGATCCCGGTGCATTCAAGGCGAGGACTTGAGCTGCTAGGCCACACCGCCGGGCCTCTGAATTTTTTTCTCATACTGAGATTTCTTACATCATTTCTAGCCTGCTTTTGACGCATATTTGACCATCTTGCCCATTCTGAAAGCAACAAAGATTTTATTTTCCTTTAGCTCCAAAATAACCTGATGCTACAGGCGGCACCCACACTGCACTCTGCCATCGGGCAGCACGTGGGGGCCAGCATGACGCAGCTGGTCCGAGACACCAACACTGCCAGCCACTGAGGAAGAGGAACAAAGAGCGAGGATCTAGATTTCTCTTCAAAAATACAACTCACTTGGTGAAGAAAGAATGCTGACAAACATGGCAAAAAGCCCTCATCTATGGCAACAAGCTCATGCCGCGCACTGTGCTTCTGTGGGACATTTTCCTGTCGGTCTCTCACAGGAAGGGGTGTTAGTGAAGGCGGTGACCATCTGCCAGCCCCTGGGCAGCGTGGCACTGAGAATCCAGAGGCGGCACAGGCACCCTCCGGGTGCTTGCAGAGAAGCCGCAGCAGTCTGTGGCAAGCGTCCTGCCTGGCACAGGGGGTTACAGTAACTCCATGTCCTAGAAACCCAGTCTCTCTGTAAAAGCACACACAGAGAATTTTTTTTTAAAGATTAATTTTATTTTTATTACGGAGTCAGATATACAGAGAGGAGAGACAGAGACAAAGGTCTTCCGTTCGATGACACTCCCCAAGTGAGCGCACGACTGGTGCTGTGCCCATCCGAAGCCAGGAGCCAGGAGCCTTTTCTGGGTCTCCCATGCGGGTGCAGGGTCCCAAGGCTTTGGGCTGTCGTCCTCTGCTTTCCCAGGCCACAGGCAGGGAGCTGGATGGGATGTGGAGCTACCAGGGTTAGAACTGATGCTGATACGGGATCCTGGTGTGTTCAAGGCGAGGACTTGAGCTGCTAGGCCATGGCATCAGGAAATCTTTTTTCCTGGTACAAGGCTTCTGAATTTTGGCAGCAAATTTAAAATATAATTCTGGGGCCCGGCGCAGTAGCCTAGTGGCTAAAGTCTTCACCGCGAATGCATTGGAATTCCATATGGGTGCTGGTTTGTATCCTGGCTGCTCCACTTCCCATCCAGCTCCCCACCTGTGGCCTGGGAAAGCAGTCGAGGACGGCCCAAAGCCTTGGGACCCTGCACCTGTATGGGAGGCGTGGAAGGAGATTCCTGACTTCTGGCTTCAGATTGGCTCAGCTCTAGATGTTGCGGCCACTTGGGAAGTAAATCAGCAGATGGAAAATCTCTCTATATATCTCTCCTTCTCTCTGTAAATCTGACTTTCTAATAAGAAAAAAGTAAAATAAAAATCTGAGTCACTTGATCTAGGTTTAGGTTAGTGACAGGCTGAGCCTCCCAGGAGCAGCTGGCAGAGGCCAGGAAGGAGCAGTGGGCGGGTGGCTGGTGGCGCAGCTCACTCCAGTGTGCTGCTTGGCACCAGCTCCTGCTTGCTGGCAGCAAGCTGCATGCACATCGGGATCTGCACAAGAAATGTCCGCCCTGTGACTGGCACAGCTGTCGGCTGTACCAAGGTCACCAGTGATGGCTCCTTGAACCCCATCGCCCCTGCACTGAGACTGCTGAACTCCGCGCCGTGTGCAGTGGACTAACAACATGGCCTGTTGCGGGAAGCAGCCGGGGACTCGACCGTAAACACTAACACAATATCATGATAAAGAATTTGAGTTCTGGGCCCAGTGAGGTAGCCTAGTCGCTAAATCCTTGCTTGCATATGCCAGGATCCCATAAGGACACCAGTTTGTTTCCTGGCTCCTCTGCTTCCCATCTGGCTCCCTGTTTGTGGCCTGGGAAAGCAGTCGAGGACGGCCCAAAGTCTTGGGACCCTGCAGCCGCGTGGGAGGTGTGGGACACACAGAAGCAGCTCCGGGTTCCTAGCTTTGGATTGGTTCAGTTCTGGCCATTGCAGCCACTCAGGGAGTGAATCAGGGGACTGAAAATGAAGATCTTCCTCTCTATCTCTCCTTCTCTCTGTATATCTGCCTTTCCATAAAAAAATATAAAAAATAATAAAGTAAAATTAAAAAAAAATAAAAACCAACACTGTCTGCACAGAGTTTGGGTAAACTAAACCAAGCCGCCGCGAGTCACACTCAGCCTTGTGTAATGGACACTGATGATAACCAGTCCTGGTTTAATCAATGGATTCACAGGTATTATTAAAAAAAAAAAAAAGCAGTAGAGCCTTTAATGTTTATCTTATTTTTATTGCAAAGTCAGATATACAGAGAGGAAGAGAGACAGAGAGGAAGATCTTTCGTCCAATGACTCACTCCCTAAGCGGTCGCAACAGCAGGACGAAGCTGATCTGAAGCCAGGAGCCAGGAGCCTCTTCCAGGTCTCCCAAGCGGTGCAGGGTCCCAAGGCCTTGGGCCGTCCTCCACTGCTTTCCCAGGCCCCAGGCAGGGAGCTGGATGGGAAGTGAGGCCGCAGTGATTAGAACCAGCGCCCATACGGGATCCTGGCATGTGCAAAGTGAGGACTTTAGTCGCGGGGCTACCATGCCGGGCACTAAAGGCTCTACTTCTTAAATTTCAACTTTTAAAAATCGGAGGGCTCAGGGTGAGGCTGACATTCCAACCCTCACCCTGGGATGGCCCCGTGACTTGCCTCGAGCAGGGCAGCGCCGGAGTGGGAGCGGCTGACCAGCCTGTGTTGCTGGCATCACGCTGAAGCAAGAAAACCTTATTAACCATTAAAGCCGTGTCGGAGCGTACCTGTCTAAATTTAGCTCTTGCTTCTTTTTCCTTCATTCTTCCATGTGCAACCAAATAGTCAAATACTTCACCTACAATTGAGAGAAATAAAAGTGAGCAGAAGTCCTACTTCTGAGTATGAATTTTGGCATAAACTAATAATGTTCTATTTTCAGCAATGCTTTATTTTCTATGTATAGCTATGAAGTTAGCCAGAACAGGTTGAATCTGAACTAAATTGGTCTCATGGTTTTGATCTAGGCATTTAAAGTAATCAACATAATCTTTAAACTGGAGAAAAGCTTTAAAATCAAATTCTCACATGCTTAAATTAGATAAAATTTGAAGGGTATTTCCGTTCTACACACTTATATAAGAACTGAGCAATGAAAATTGAAACTTGAAATGAACTAGGTTCTGTGGTTTAGAAAGTTTATCCTCACTGAGACTAGAGCCGAGCGCTCCCGGCTGTGTTCATTACTGAGCGGGCACTGGCCAGCCTCTGGGGACGCGCAGCACTACACACCACACAGCCTCCCCGCTCAGGACCCACGTCAGTAGGGAAAGCCAGGCTGGCCGCATTTAATACATCTAGGGAAAGAAACAAGAACGTGCGTGCGCACGCGTGTGTGTTGAGCAGCATCCCTCAGGCCCTGGGAGAAATCGGGATGTCCCCGAATGAGCTGTGCAGCAGGGACGGACGACAGCCACCAGGCCCAGGGAGCTGGCAGCTGGCAGAGCTGAGCTGGACAGCACCAGGAAGGGGGCTCAGCAGAAGTGAGACCAGTGACCCCCCAAAGGACATCTGTGGGAGTTCAAGCAGTATTAATTCCTTGAGCAAGAGGTGTGACACTAGAGGACATATTAGCACTGTCGCCTGTATTCCAATGCACAATAAAGACCAGTTCTGAGATCAACAGAGAAGCTCGCCTCGGGAAAGCAGCACACAGACGCCTTCCCGGCTGCATCACCTTAGCCAAGCGGCACGGCAAGCTGACACAAAGCCAACAGTTCTGATTTTTAAACTCTCAATTTTAATGCTAAATAAATACAGTACAAATCACATATATTTCCATGCTATTGTTGAACTGCATAATGATCTTTTTATTTGAAAAAATTTCAAATAATACAGCAAGTATAAAGAGTGCATATTGACTTTTAAAAAGGTCTATACTGTCAGTTTACAGTAAGTGTTCAGTGAATGAGGACTACGGGTTAAATGCTGGCTCAGAATGTCACCACTTTCCAAATGAATGAACTTCTATTTGCACAAAAGCACACAATGTGAAAAAACAGGCACTTAATAAGTAAAAACAAGAGGAGTGTACAAATTGTATGGCAATAATTTTAGCTTTCAAACAAAATCATACAGTTTATGCCCAACAGTGTGTGTACAGAAACACAGATAAAGACCAATCCATATAACTTTTAAATACTTTTATAAATCCAAGTACAACCTAAATCTCTTCAGAGGTTTCTGGAACTACAGCCATGTTCACAATTGCTAAGTTGTTAGTCAGGAAGTAAATTTATAATCCAAGAATTCAATCCAGACCTTTTGTCTTTTTCCCTTAGTAAAAATATATTAAGAATATATTAAGCAGTTATACTGAAAATCTCTGAAGGCTTGCAGAGGACGGAGGTGGGACTGTGTGACAGAATGTCCCCAGGTCTCGATGTCTTCTACAAATGTCAGTTACCCTGGATGAGTTCTAAGATTCTAGCAAATCAACAGCTTGACGGAGGAGCTGGAGCTGTGGCATAGCATGCAAACCCACTGCCAGAGATGCCAGCATCCCAGTGGGTGCTGGTTAACGTCCCAGGGGCCCCACTTCCCATCCGGCTCTCTGCCTGTAGTCTGGGAAAGCAGTGGAGGACGACCCAAAGCCTCGGGACCCTGCACCCGTGTGGGAGACCCAGAGCAGGCTCCTGACTCCTGGATTCTGATCAGTTCAGCTCTGGCTACTGAGGCCACTTGGGGAGTGAACCAACACATCTCTGTCCCTCCTTCTCCCTGTGAATCTGCCTTTCAAATAAAAATAAATAAATGTTTTTTAAAAATGACAGCACCTACAAACAGATATTTCAGAAGACATTTACAACTTTAAAACCTTATAGGCAAATAAATACTAGTCTTTCATTTCTACTTTAACAAAAATACAGCCCTAATTACTACAATCATTTCTGGTCTTGGGAAAGATGGCATGGAATGTGATACACAAAAGGTACAACAGGGAACACATATTTATTCCAAATAGACAAAAACACTAAATATATCAAAAAAACCAACACTTGGGATAAACAAATGTGTGCTCATATGCGCACACACACACACACAGATTGTTACTGATTTAAAAGGAAGTTCTGCCATATAGTATGACATGGATGATCTGGAAGACACTATGCTGATTAAAACAAGGCAGTCACACCAGGCCAAGCCAGGACTGGAAGGCCTGTGCGAAGCACGGGGGCCAGGGGCCCGCAGAGTCGCTGTCTAATGAGGACAGTGTCAAGGCTCTGGTAAGAATGGTGGAGAGGGCTGTGCGACCACATGCATGTCCTCATCAATAGTGAGCTGTGCACTCGTCACTGGATAGAACCGTGAATCCTGCAACACGTATATTTTACAACAAAACAGATCCTGAACATCATCAACTGATAACCCTAACAGCGATCACCTGCACGTCTGCTACGTCTGCACTGTGACTCTGGGTGTTAGCAAAAACCTCAACAGTCACTCACACAGTAGAGCGTCCTTTAGAAGAAAGAGTTCTTACCTCCGCTTGCATACTCCATGATTAAGTAGAGTGTCTTTTCAGTTTCAATGACTTCAAATAACTTCACTGGGGAAGAGATAGGATACAGCAGAAAAAGAAACCATTGTCTGTATGTACAAACCACACTTAAGAATCAAACCCACAAAAAGCAACTCTGTTAAACATCTCAGCACTTGATCCTCAAAACTTCCAGTGAATTTTATCGCATATTACAAAGAAAAAGACTTTAACAAACATAGAATTCCATAAACATCCTTTTTCTGGGTGCCCACACAGTGTGACTTCAGAGCCCCCATCCAAGCCCATCTGCCCTAACTGCCCCCTGGCCCTGACTGGCCCTGGCAGCCCTCCCAGAACAGCTCAGGCTTACTACACTGCGGCAAGGACAGGTCCATGCATCCGTCAGTACGGCCTGAATGACCAAACAGCACCCGGTGTTCTGGGAACCGTCACCAAGAACAAGCCTTCCTCCCCGGCTATGGACTGGACCAGGAAAGTGTGACACTGGTGGGAGAAAAGCAGCGCGCTAACACAGAACCTGTGTTAACTACATCAGTGTGCCAGCAGAGCTAATTCTTAAAACATGCAGGGATACCAGCAGACATGGTCTAGGAACACTGAACTCAAAATTCCATCCATGGGGTAACTTGGAGGATTTGGGGTCTGCCCATGGAGTGCACGTGTCAGAACTGGGTCTCCACAGTTGTTAATCCAGTGCAGTGGACAGCATGCCCAGATCACTTGGGAGACATGACAACCGGTTCACTGAGGCCTGCAGAGGACATCTAGTACCATGGAGGGCACCACAAACTGGACAACTTCCCTGGTCATGCTCTGACGGCAAGTGTTAGAGCAAATGGAGACCCCAAGGTGGACTGTGTCGGCCAGTGGACTGGGAAGCTTTCTTCATCCTTGGAGCAACAAAATCAATGCATCTCAGAACTACCAAAACCACTTCAGCAGCAGCCTGAGAACATGTTCCACATTGGGAAACCTGAGATCACGTGGCCGTCCGCCATCCCACGGCAGGGACGCCGCGCAGCTGCAGGAAGCGGTTCCCTTCCCTTGTCTCCATTTCCCCCAGATATATGGAAAAGAAAAACCCTCACAGAGACCGCCAACAGCCGTTGCACCGACTTTCCCCCTTTCCTCAACCTTCCCTTCCCTAATCGGTGGTCCACATGGGCACGCCCTTAACTATATGAACATAAAAGAACAAATTTATGATTAAAAAAAAAAGGTTCCTTGAAACAAGAAGGGATTATACTGCAAATCACTGTAAAGAACAATTCTCAGTGGGTGAGATGTTACCATAGCAATGCGTTATTACTCAAACATTTCCACTGCCACTAACAAAACAAGTAGAAATAATCACTTATTAAAATCAACTAAACTGAATCCAAGACTAAGCAAGCCATTCTGCCCATCTCCTGAATGTTGCTATTTACATTAGAATTAAATTCAGCAGGGGGTGTAGGGTCTGGTGGCATGGCCTAGCAGCTAAAGTCCTCGCCTTGAACCTGCCAGGATCCTATATGGGCACCGGTTCTAATCCCGGAAACTCCACTTCCTACCCAGCTCCATGCTTGTGGCCTGGGAAAGCAGCAGAGGACGGCCCAAAGCTTTGGGACCCTACACCCGTGTGGGGGACCTGGAGGAAATTCCTGGTTCCCGGCTTCGGATCAGCGCAGCACTGGCCAGTGCAGTCACTTGGGGAGTGACACTGGATGGAGCATCTTCCTCTGTCTCTCCTCTCTGTATATCTGACTTGGGCTTGGCGAATGTGAGTATGTTTGGATCTTGGGTGGGCGGAGGGGCAGGATCCCAGGCCAGAACATGTGCCAGGAGCTTGGAACCCTATGGGCAGGCAGAACTCCAGGTCAGCACACCACCCCACCAGATGACTGGACTCCGCACAGCTGCGCTGGGAAGCCCGCGCGCTCCTGGGCACAGAGACCGAGGAGGTACAGGGCTGGGAGGGAGGGAGGGCCTTTGCGGGAGAACGCTGAGGATGAGGAATGGCTCCTGAGGAACTTCCACCGACAAGGCCACTGTACTTGCAGTTAAGCAAGCGGGTTGAGACTGAGTGGTTTGGAGGAGGGAAGCCACTTCCCGGATCTCACTAATGTACCCACCCACAGGGAAGACCAGAGCTGGGCTACTCAACATGGACCACTGTCAACTCCCACCCACCAGCACACACTGAGCTAGGGACAAAGGCCTGCCTGGCAGGGCTAGATCACAGTACCCACCAATGAATGTTAGAACGGGGGACAGGTAAAGTTAGACTGCGCAACGACACTAAGCAGCACATGAGAGAACCACGTCTGGGCCCACACTTGTGGAAGTGTAATATCTGCTGGCTTGCTCAACAGCTGCAGGTAGCGATGGACTGACCTAGGCATGACCCGGGAACCCTGCGACACTCAAGGGCACAGAGCTGAAAACAGGCCGGGCTAATTCAAGCTGCAGCACGTACAAGTGCACCCAAGAATAGGTTGGGTGGCCCACAACATCTGACAGAGGGGCAAAGTATATCAGGTAAGGGCCTAGCACCCACTGGCACATGTGAAATCTGGCTCTGGGAGTGGTGGGGGAACTTGGGGACACTCCCCTGGTGGCTGCAGCTCCTGCCTATGAGCATATGATTCAGGCCTGGGGCTGGGCTGGGCCAGGCTGTGATATGCAACAGTCAAGGCCAAGGCAGGATGGGCTCTGCTGGGCTGAGTCAGAGCAACCACTAGTACAAGATCTGTGCCTGGGAGCAGGTCTGATCACCAGCTAAGAGAACGCCTTGGTTGGGTTAGAGTTCCCACTGCTGAGCACAAGAGACCGAATGGCTGAAGCAGAGGCTGCCACTCAAATCTGGGTCTAGATGCAGACCTAGCAGGGGTTACTGGGGGTTGCCCCAACTAGGTTGCAGCTTGCTGGTACACATAAGGACTAGGTCTGTGCTGGGTTGGGCCGTGACAACTGTTGACTTGCATGAGCTCCAGGGTTGGGGTGGAACTGATCAGACAGCTGCATCCACGGTGTGTATTGCCTGGTGCAGGTAACAGACTGAGCCTGTTCCTGCACTGCATGGTGCACGTAAGATTCAAACCTGAGTCATCCCAGGAACACCGACTGGATGGTCAGACTCAGCACCTGGCCACAGGGCGAGGCACGAGACGTGCACACCACCCTGGGAGCACAGGTGTCGGACTCAGCACCTGGGAGCACAGGTGTCGGACTCAGCACCTGGCCACAGGGCGAGGCACGAGACGTGCACACCACCCTGGGAGCACAGGTGTCGGGACTGTCCCAGGCACCTGCAGAGCAGGGCAAGGGCGATTCCCCGATCCAGCAGCAGCCCTGGACAGAGCTCTGCACAGAGGACGATGTGAACACAACTCTGCTTCAGAAACAATCCCCAGTGAGCAGCTCATTAGGTAAAAGTCTCCCATCTTTTAAACACTATTCTGTACGTATTTTCTTAGAATCAGTCAAAGCAAAAAATATTAAGCCTTCAAAGACGTTAACTCTGACTTGCTACAATTCTTTCTACTAAAGAAATGTAATTAACTTTATTTCTGAATATATTAAAATATTGTAATAAAATTAAAATTTGGCTACAATGTTTCTACCAAATTGCTTTAAATTAATGTTTGATACTTACATTTTTAACCTATCTTCAGTCATTTCAAAAAGCTAATACAAAACCCAGTAATTTGCATATATAGATTTTATTAAAAGTGTACCTGGCTGTGGGAGAAGAGCCTCCTTCTATCACTTCTGGAACACATATTTAGCTTCATGACACACTTTCAAGAATGTATTTAGACCCAAAAGTATTTAAGAAAGCAGAAATACCTATGTTTGGATGATTTAAAATCTTCATTATTCTTACTTCTCTGAAGAGCTAAAACAAAACAAAACAAACAAAAAAGGCACATGATTTCTGCAAAGTCAGTTGCCAACATCAAATCCCACAGCTGTAGCAGAAATGGGAATGTTCCCTTAGGCTCTAGGACTAACATGACAGGCCGGCGCGGTGGCTTGGCAAGCGGATCCTCCACCTGCGGCACCAGCACCCCATTCGGCCACTGCTCCCCCTCCAGACAGGAAGACAGCGGACGATGGACCAAGTCCTGGGGCCCTGCACCCACATACAAGACCAGGCCAGCAGACGAAGATCTTTCATTCTCCATCGCTTCTCTCCAACCTGATGCTCATACAAAGGATAACAGATGAATACACGGGAAACACAGAGGCCCAGAGCGTGGGGACCGACCTCGTACCCGCACGGGATACTGGAAAACCCAAACTCCTGGCTTCAGACCAGCAATCTCCAGCCACTGTGGTCACTGGAGCAATGAACCAGTGATTGAAGATCACTCACTTTCTCTCTAACTTTGTTTTTAAGATTTATTTTATTTCTATTGGGAAGTCAGATATATAGAGAAGGAGAGACACAGAAGTAGATATTCCATCCCATGATTCACCCCCCTAGTGACCACAATGGCCGGTGCTGTGCTGATTTGAAGCCAGGAGCCAGGAACTTCCTCCAGGTCTCCCACGCGGGTGCAGGGTCCCAAGGCTTTGGGCCGTCCTCTACTGCTTTCCCAGGCCACAGCAGGGAGCTGGATGGGAAGTGGAGCTATTAAGAGTAGAACCGGCACCCATATGGGATCCCAGTGCGTTCAAGGTGAGGACTTCAGCTGCTGGGCCAAGGTGCCTGGTCCTGAATCTGCCTTTTCAAGAAAAAAATATAAAAATCTTTTTTTTTTTTTTTTTAGGTTTTCAAACATCCACTTCTGATTTCCCAAGCCACAAGTAGGGAATTGGATGGGAAGTGGAGCAGCTGGGATATGAGCCAGTGATCATACGGGATCCAGGCAAGGTGAGGAGTTTAGCCATTAAGCTACCACACCAGGCCCATAAATACATCTTAAAAATAACCTAATTAAACTGTAAATTTTAAATACAAGCTGCATTCATTTGAGCACTAGGAAAGTTTATTGTAGTAAACACAGTATATCTGGACCTGGTACAATGGCTCAATGGCTAAATTCTCACACACACAAAACATTGTACGTTAAAACTAAGGGATGGGGACCAGCGCCATGTCATGGCAGACTCATCATCCACTCTTGCAGCCAACATCCAACGGGGGCACTAGTTCGAGTCCCAGTTTCTTCACTTTCCCGCCAGCACCTTGCTTATGGCCTGGGAAAGCAGAAGAGGACAGGCAAAGTGCTGGGGTCCCTGAACCCATGGCAGGAAATCGGGATGCAGCTCCGGCATGAGCTAGTGAAAGGAGGACATGTCTCTATCTATCCTTCTCTCTGTAATTTTGCTTTTCAAATAAAAAAATAAGTAATATTTTTTAAAAAAGGTATTTCTGGAACAATTACATGGGAATTAGCACTAAAAATAATAATCTTACCTTTTGTAGACTTGTTGGATTCAACTGAGTTTTGTCAATTATTTTTATAGCAACCTAGAAAAAAAATTTAAGAATTTTAGGTTTTAGTAATTACAAATGTTAACTGATAATAGCTTTGTAAATGTCTACACACTCATTAAAAACCAAGTAAACTTGGTCCAGAATGGTAGCCTAGCAGCTAAATCCTCGCCTTGAACGTGATGGGATCCCATATGGGCACCGGTTCTAATCCCGGCAGCTCCATCCAGCTCCCTGCTTGTGGCCTGGGAAAGCAGTTGAGGACGGCCCAATGCTTTGGGATCCTGCTCCCATGTGGGAGACCTGGAGGAAGTTCCTGGGCTCAGACTGGCACAGCACCGGCCCTTGTGGTTACTTGGGAGTGAATCATCGGACAGAAGATCTTCCTCTCTGTATATCTGACTTTGTAATGAAAATACATAAATAAATGTTTTACAAACTTGTTACAGCCTTCCTGGAGCTGGCTGGGTCACTCCCTCTGATGCTTTCCAGGCCGAGAATGCCTGCTCAAGTTGTTGCTCGCCTTTACCTCCAACTCCCTGCAATGTGCCTGGGAGCAGCCCAATCCCAGCTGTGGTAGCCACGCAGGAAATGAACCAGTGGGATGGGACATTCTCTCTCCTACTCCCTCCTTTCCTCCCTCTCTGTAACTCTGTATTTGAAACAAAATAAGTCTTAAAAAAAAAAAATTAGAGCCTTCCTAAACATTCCTAGTTTAGCAGGGTTGAGGGGTCCAGATTCCATCACAACAGCGATAAGAATTACAAAGCATCTTGCTGGCAGGTCTCTAATTGGTTAGGCAGCCTGCGTCTGGCATCCGAAAGCACAGGTTCTGGTCCTGACCGCAGCTCCCGCACATCCTGGACACACAGGGAGGACAGAGAGAGTCCCCAGGCCCCTGGCCACAGACGCGCTGCCTGCGACACTGGGTCAGTCGGCTGAAAGAAGCACATACTCTCTGTCTCTCCTCCTCTCTCTGTATATCTGACTTTGAAATAAAAATAAATATTAAAAAAAGAAAGAAGCACACAGGAGCTTCCCTCCCTCCAATAATCTCAACTTATAAAAATGTATAAATTGGAATAAACGTAACAAGAATTATACAAAACCTAGATGAAGAAAGTTACAAATACTGAGAAAACCGAGACACACATTATTTTCTTGGACTGAAATCAATTTGTATATTAAAATATCACACTTTCTCACTGAATTAATTTATAAGCCCAATCAATTTCAAAATTCAATGAGACTGTTTTTCAGAACATGCAAATGTGCTTCTAAAATACACCTACAAGTATAAATGGCAGAAAGAATCAGGAAATTGTTGAAAAATAAGCATGATTAGCACAGATATAACCTATTCCGAAATGCACAGATGTCGCAGTAATAAAACTACCCCCGCGTGCGTCTGAGGCTTAACCAGCAGACAAGAGAAACAAAGGACGTGCATCGCAATTTAGGATAGAATAACCCACAAGAATCAAGTCAGGTGGCTGGCACTGCGGTGTAACACCCCACAGGAGTGCTGCTTCTAGCCCAGCTCCTCTGATCCAGCTCGCTGACAAGGCACTTGGAGAAGCAGTGGAAGATGGCCCAAGTACGTGGACCCCTACCCCACGCGGGAGACCCAGAAGCAGCTCTTTGGCTCTTGGCTTCGTACTAGCCCCACTCCAACCACTGCAGACATGTGCGGAGTAAACAAGCAAGCAGATGCAAGATCTCTGCCTTCATGGAAAGTTACCCACTGGCATACAATTGGCAGGGGTTGGGGGAAGACCAGGCTGAATCTGTCCACGTCATCCACTGGCAAATCCAAGAACCCAGAACAGTGTGGGTCGAGCCAGGTTCGGTCGCAACAAAGACTAGTGCACAATACGGAATGCCAAGGTGAGGCTGCCTGTACTGGAAGGGACCGCAGTGCCCAACCAGCATGAGAACAAGGAAGGGAGGGAGCAGAGCCCACAGGGGAATAAGGGAGGGTTCCCTTGCTGGACAGCTACTCCCACAGGAGAGCATAGGCTGGGATGGGGGCAGACCAGACTAGGCCGGGCTACCACACCTGTGCGCCTCATGTGGACTAGATCAGGAAAAAGCCAGGCTGGGCTGATTATTCCTACTGGTGCAAACAACATCAGAGTGGGCAATGGGTTGTTTGTGCTTAGCTACAGCATCAGCTGGCAGAAGCTGGCACTGGGGGCTAGTTCTGGCAAGTCAAACCACAGAACTATCTGGAGAGCGCATAATCTGGGAGTGTGAGAGGCCTGGGAGGGAAATAGTGGGCCCATCCCTCTTGGGTTACCACTTCCACGGGAGGGCATAAAACTAAGACAGTGGCTGGGGTGAAATGGGGTGTGGGACATAATGGATTACTGCTATACATACTGGCAAACCAGGGGTAGGGGGCGGCCTCGTGGGGGTTACTGCGGGTCACTCCGACTAGGCTGCAGCTCCCACTGGTTTATGTGAGGGCAGAGTATGTGCTGGGCAGAACCAGGCTGGACTGCAACACCTATTGGTTCCAGTGGAAGTCAGGAGTGAAAACAGAACCAACCCAGCAATTGCAACCACTAGCTGATCAGGGCGACGGACTGCACCGGGCCCTGTACTTGCTAGCACATACAAGAATCTGGTTTGAGAACACCTCAGACAAAGTTTCTTTGGGGATCTTTCTAATCTAAATGCTGGACTCAGAACCCTAACAAAGAAAAGACAGAAGACAGAACAGGTCAACCAACCATCTCAGCTATGATGGACTATGTCAATCAGTGGATTTTTCAAAGACCTCATAGTGCTTGGAGTGGCAATATTGGCAGTGATTCGTAACTGTTGAAATATCAAAACCACCTGAGCAAGAACCTCAGAGCATGCCCTACATCCGGGACCTGGGGAGGGTGGGAAATTGGGTGGACCTTCTCCCTTAATACCCTTCTTTAAACATGAAGGTAACAATATGGAAAAAAATACTAGTCTCTTATCCACTTTCCTGTAGCCCTTAAACCTTTGTACCCTAATTAACTATGTAAAGATTGTCGAAATAAATAAAATAAGTTAAAAAAAAAAGATCTCTGCCTTGCAAATTAATTCTTTTGAACAAAACACAAACCACACACACACACTGACTGAATCAGACTCGTCTACTTCATGATAATCCCCTGGGATATTCAGCAGACCTAGTAAATATGCAAGATGCGACATAATTGCAATATAGAATATTTTTACAATCTTGAGACAAAGTAAATCTCATAATGTAGTAGGTTCCATATTCTTTAATTTTTAATCAGTACAGTTTATTTCCACAAAAAACAAGAAACTATTTCTGTGCAAACAAACTGTACAATGTCGTAAGAGAAAGAAGCATGAGTCATATTTACCTCTCTGCCTGTAAGGATATGTCTTGCCAACTTCACCTTTGCAAAGTTGCCCTTGCCGATCGTCTTCAGCAGCCTGTAGTTCCCGATGTGAGGCTGCTCGTCCGTGCAGGAAGCGATGGAGTTCCTGCAGCGAGCTCCAGAGCGCCCGGCCCGGCAGGGGACTTCTTGATGCCCGTCTCCATGGGACGTGTGCTACAACAGAATACACACAAAGACAACGCGGTGAGAGAACACACCGCCGCACTTGCCAAGTCTTAGGAGCTTCCAGTTGAAGAAACAAAACATTGTGATCACAAGATATAAATGTGGAAAACAAGAACGTTGGTAAGAAAAATACCAAGTGGGGCCAGGCGGCATGGCCTAGCGGCTAAAGTCCTCGCCTTGAATGCACCAGGATCCCATATGAGTGCTGGTTCTAATCCTGGCAGCTCCACTTCCCATCCAGCACCCTGCTTGTGGCCCGGGAAAGCAGCTGAGGACGGCCCAAAGCCTTGGGACCCTGCACCCGTGTGGGACACCCAGAAGAAGTTCCTGGATCCTGGCTTCGGATCGGCATAGCACCGGCCGTTGCGCTCACTTGGGGAGTGAATCATCGGACGGAAGATCTTCCTCTCTGTCTCTCCTCCTCTCTATATATCTGACTTTCCAATAAATAAATAAATCTTTAAAAAAAAAAAAATACCAAGTATTCAGGGGCTGGCATAACAGCTCAACCAGTCAATTCTCCACCTGCAAGCATCGGCATCCCATATGGGCCTCGGTTCTAATTCCGGCGGCTCCACTTCCCACCCAGCTCGCCGCTTGTGGCCTGGGAAAGGAGCAGAGGATGACCCAAAAGCCTTTGGACCTTGCACCGGCATGGGGACCCAGAAGAGGCTTCTGGCTCCTGGCTTTGGACCGGCTCAGCTTAGACCACTGTGGTCATTTTGGAGTAAACCAGCAGAGGGAAGGTCTGTTTCTCATTCTCTCTGGATATCTGACCTGCCTTTCCAATAAAATTAATAAACCTTTAATAAAAAGATTAAGAGTTGAAGTTTAAGGAGGTAAATCAAGGAAATACAGCCCCACATTGATGACACCTCCTCTCTGAATGCGGACCCCTTCCCAGGCTGGTGGTAACAAGGCCCCATTCCTTGGATCTTGGCAGCGGAGGCCCACGAGACCCAGGACGGTACAGACATCTCCCAAAGGTTTCTGGCTATAGTGCGCAGTAAGTTACATGAAATAGCCAATACTTTATAAACCAGGGTTTGTACTAGATGATTTCGTCCCACTATAGGCTAACATAAGTGTTCTAAATCCGGTTAAGGTAGCATGGACCAAACTCATGCTCATTAGGTTAGAAGTCCTGAAGGCACCTGCAACTTCCAGTTGCTCATGAGTAAAGCATGTGCTTCAACACAGAAGAGGAGGGACTGGGGTATAGAGCTTCACTTTTTTTTTTTTTTTTTAAGATTTATTTATCTTTATTAGAAAGGCAGATATAGAGAGAGGAGGAGAAACAGGAAGATTTTCTGTCCGCTGATTCACTCCCCACATGGCCACGACAGCTGGAGCTGAGCCGATCTGAAGCCAGGAACCAGGAACCTCTTCCGGGTCGCCCACATGGGTGCAGGTCCCAAGGCCTTGGGCCGTCCTCGACTGCTTTCCCAGGCCACAAGCAGGCAGCTGGATGGGAAGCAGGACGCTGGGTACACGAACCAGTGCCCATACGGGATGCCAGTGAGTGCAACACAAGGACTTTACCCAATGAAGCCACTGCACCGGGTGCAAAGAGCTTCACTTTACCCATGGGGCTGGCACTGTGGTGCATGGGCTAAACTGCCATCTACTGTAACACTGGCATCCAATAACGGAGTCCCAGCTTCAGTCCCAGCAGCTCCTCACTAAAGCAGCTGGGAACCGACAACAGCTCGCAGTGTCCAGCCTTGTAGACGTGCAGAGGACCTGGACGGTGCTCCTGGCCGCAGCCGGGCCTCCTGCGAGCTGTGCCCGTCCGGGAAGTGAACCGTGGCCGCAGCCTGGCCTCCTGCGAGCTGTGCCCGTCCGGGAAGTGAACCAGTACAAAGATGGGTCTCTCACCAACCCTTTGTTGTTCTCCCTTTAAATAAAATTTTAAAGAAAAGTTTAAAAGGCTGTGGTAAGAATCAAATGTTTTTAATTGTTTTTTATTTCCATGAGAGGTTAAGTGACCCACCTGCACCCCCACTAGCCTTTCCCCCGTTTGGGCAGCAGGGGGCAGCAGGGGGCAGCGATCATTGAGCCACCTGTTGCATTACTCTAGGTGAGGAATCCCAACTCCCAACTGCTATCAAACCATGAGACTAAATCAAACAGAACACCACTATGCTAACAATCCAAAACAATCCCACATGCACTCCAGCCCCTCAATACCCTTTATACATTCCTCCTTTCCAACTTTTTGTCCAGAAAAATGTCCTTTCGTTCACTCTCTTCGTCTACAAATACAAAAAATTACTTCGTAATATATTCACACAGAAGATGAAGATCAAGTCTTTTAAAGCAAAAGAAAGCTTAAAATTCACACCACTGACTACTGATGTTCTCAAAAAGCTGGCTTCATACACTGCATTACCTCTGTGCTGATCAGGAGCCAGGAGCCAGGAACCTCCTCCAGGTCTCCCACACGGGTGCAGGATCCCAAAGCTTTGGGCCATCCTCGACTGCTTTCCCAGGCCACAGGCAGGGAGCTGGATGGGAAGTGGAACTGCCGGGACTAGAACCGGCGCCCAGATGAGATCTAGGCACGTCCAAGGCAAGGACTTTAGCCGCTAGGCCACGCTGCTGGGCCCAATCATTATTATTTTATGATACAGTTCCATAGGCTTTTTACACACACACACACACACACACACACACACACACACACACACACACAGATTTCCCCCACATTATCACAATAGTACAGAGTTCTTCATACACAGTCACATGTCCATCATTGCGGGTATGGACAATGGCAGAGAGACCAGCACCCCACTGTCAAGATTTAGTAAAGTTTCATTGGGAGTCCATCTTTGATCTGGAAGTAGAGATGCATACTGCATTGCATCCTCACATCTGGATATGACTGACTCCATTACACAGTTATTATATATGCCCTTAAATGAAAAGTCACAATCAACAACAGGAAGAAAAATAGAAATTTACAACACCATGAAGTTAAATAACATGCTACTGAGTGACTAATGTGTCACTGAAGAAATGAAAAATGAAAAAGAAAATCAAGAACCTTCTTGAAGAAAATGATGTCACTGCATGGCCTATGAGTCAGTGAAGAATGTAATGGGGGCATTAAATGAGCACCTGCTGCTGTCTGGATGAGTCGCCGCTGGCGCTGTGGCCATGGTCACGCAAGGAGCTGGAGGCAGCGGCAACCCTGCTGTGCACCTGCCCCGGCACAGCAGCGTCCCGGGGTCCGTGGGGAGCAGGAGAATGAGGCGGTGGCCCGACCCGTGCGGGCAAGATGTAGGACACGTGGAAGGTGCGGGAGCTGGTGGACAAAGCCACCAATGTGTTTATGAATTTTTCAGAGATAGAGTTTAAAGTTCAAGAAGCAACAAACGATGACCCTTGGGGACCTTCTGGGCAGCTCACGGGAGACTGCCAAGGCGACACGTATGTACGAACAGTTTCCAGAACTTATGAACATGCTTTGCTCACAAATGTTAGAAGACAACAAAAAGAACTGGCGAAGAGTTCATAAGTCATCGCTGCTCCTAGCTTACCTCAGAAGGAATGGATCAGGGCGTGTTGTTACAAGTGCCAGAGACCACATTTATGATTTGCGATCCCTGGAAAATTACCACTTTGTAGATGAACACGGCATAAATATTCGCCAGAAGGCAAAGGAGTTGGTCGGGTTTGCCCAGGATGATGACAGACTTCGTGATGAGCGAGAGGAGGCAAAGAACAAGGACACGTGTGTTGGTGTTTCCTGACAGTGCTGGAGGTTTCAGATACAGTGAGAGCTATGTTCCTGAGCCCAAATCCAAATGCGACGAGCAGGATAAAAACAAGAGTGCTTTTCCACTCAGTGATAAACTAGGTGAACTGAGTGACAAAACTGGAAGCACAATTGATGACACCATCAGCAAGTACCGGAGGAAATCAAAGAAGATTCTCCAGAGAGATAGCAATGAGGAAAAGAAAGCCCGAAGAGGGAGATCTCCCAGAAGTGAATTCAAAGATGAAGAGGAGACGGCCACGACAGAGCATATCCACATCACGCAGGCGACAGAGACCACCACCACCTGACACAAGCGCACTGCAAATCCCTGCAGAACCACTGATCTCAGAGCAGCAACAGCACAGCGGGGGACAAAGCCGGTCCAGAGCAGAATTCTCCCGCCCACACCCTCAGGCTTCAGTGAAGACACCAGTGCCCAGAGGCCAGGCCTCTTGTGAGCCTGTCCATCTGTTTGATGGCCCCAGCCCGTCCACAGCATGGGAAGGTGCTGGACTTTGGCTCAGCAGCTGCATCAAGCTCTTCCCAAGCGACAGGTGGGAGTGGAGACGGGTGACTGGAGTGCCCTCAGTCCCGTCCTGTGGCAGAGCTGCACAGTCAGCAGTACAACTTGTGAGTGGGTCAACCTTCTTCAGGTCCTCCAGCAGCTGCCTCAAACTCTTCAGACCTGTCTGATCCAACGGGCTCATCCCAGGCAACCGTGACGTCTCCCCAGAGAATGAATTTCTCTATGATGAGTACTAATACTGCAGGACCTGGTTTGCCCATGTCAAAATCACAGCCTTTGCAAAACGTTAGCACAGTGCTGCAGAGGACTAGTCCTCAGCCAAACCCTGCCCTCAACTTGGTCCGACCCCCATGTAACCATCAGCCTGGACAACTTGCTACCTGGTAGGCAGCCTTCCAAACCCAGGCAGCCATCGCTAAACACAAGGATTCAACAACAGAATATGCAACAGCCTAGGAATGTGATGACTCAAAGTTTTGGAGCCGTGAACCTCAGTTCTTCCTGTCCAGCCCCAACCATCCTTTGCTGGGGGACCCAAGCCTACGAGCGTGCCCAGTACGATGACTAGCGCCATGGGTATCAACAAGAACTCAGGAATGTCAACTCCTCGGATGGGCTTGACAGGCACGATGGGCATGCCATGACTTCTGGAACTATGCAACCTAAGATGCCAACTTTAGCAAATAAGAGATTGTAAAG